TAGTGCATTCATTATCAAATCAAGATGTCAAACAGAAATTATCACAGTTATTACTGAAAAAGATCCTCTAACTCCAGAATCTTTGACTGCACATCTGAAAAAGAGCTATTGAAAGGAGAGAAATTCTCACAGCAAACTAGCTTTCCTTGCTGTGCTGTCTAAGGCTGCACCACAATCCTGCTAGCTGGACCTAATGGGATAAATAATAACAGCAGGATATTATCTTCACCTGGTGAGCTTCAGTTTTGGTGAGACATGTATTTGCTGACAATACATGTCAGCACAAGACTTCTTGGGGCTGAGACACCATTTATATACACTTTTCCACCAACTGTACATTAACCTGTCCCATCTTTCCCAACTTTTTCCAGTCTATTCTAATAGCTGTCTGTGACTCTGAGTCACATCCTCCTCAATTAGCCAATCCTATTTTTTTTTTCCAGGATATTCATATAGACTCTAACCTCTCTCTTCCTCTCTGTTTCTCTTTTCTTTTTCTCTCTCTCTTTCTTCTTCTCATTCTCTCTTTCCACAGTACGTCCTTGTCCTAGAAGCTGAAGGCTCCAGTCCTCTTCCATTTCCACCAGTGTCATCCCAGACTTTATCTCTGATCTTCTCTAGCCAAATCATGCTGATTTCCTCTTTTCTCCTTTACTCATGTCCTTACACCTGCTCCAATCTCCTGCCCTAGCAGCCTTGTTTCAGGTCTTCAGTTAGCAGCCAACTTGTCAGATCAGACACCACTTGCTCCATAAAGAATCTCTTCATGATATTTTGTCTCCTTTCCTCTATCCTTCAGGGATGGAAGTGTGTACTGTACTTTTAGTATCTAATTCAAGAGTGAGAGAAGGAAGGGGAAACCGTGTTAGGCACTCTGTGAGTTGTTGGTAGGAATGAAGTTTCTGTACGATCACTTAAAAAAAGCAGAGTTCTTTGAAGAGGTGGTACATAATAGTGAAGAGAGATGCTTGAAGAAGACCACGTCAACACTCTTCATATCAAAGCTGTCAGAGTAACTATAAGCAAACAAGACATTTCCTCAATAAATTGAGGCAGATTCTTAAGGTGCTGCTGAACTTTTCTAGTATTGTTCCTGAGATCTTCAGTATTCAGCTTAACCTGAATACCAGAGGAATGCATCTACTCATCGTGATTGTATAAAATGTTGTCTGCTAGAGAAGTTTTTCAATTTTAAGCAAATGGAAATACCAGTAACCTCTTATTTATTCATGACTGAAATCTTAGAGTCACATCATAACTCTTTGCAGTGAAATTGGTATCGTCACTAGTGACACAAGCAGTACTCCTCTAGGAATTAAGGAACAGAGCAGCCTTGTGTCATGAATATGCTAAGTGGTCCTTGAGTGACTCCACCTGAGTATGATGGAATTTTGTTATTGAATCCCTGTAAGAACTAAATAAATGACAATGTGTTGAATGTCAGGATCCAGCTCTCAAAAGCATGTTTTCTCCTGGGAAAAGAGTAGAGCAGTTAAATAAAGGAATACAGGAAAAAAGAAAGAGCGCGCACATGTTTTCACCCGCACATTTCACTTGGAGCTTTAATATGCTTTAATTAAGCAGGAGATCTAAAATCAATATAGTAGTATATAAAGAGGTGTTGTTTACACAGCTCACAAGTAGGGAGGAAACTGTTTAGTCTGTTCTCTTAAAGAAGTAAAGGGTTGTGAAATCATGCTGTTCATGCACCTGTATGTGTCCTACTCTGCCACTCCCCCAAAATAGCATGTGACCAGTTTCAACCATGCACCGCAAGTAAAGCTCTCACAGATGCTAAGTTTCTAGAGACTGTGCACAGTAGCTGACGTGGTGGGCTTAATGCTGGGAGCTGTTTTCTCAGTTGCAGCAGAACTAGCCATAAAATCACAGCACAACACTGAACCTGCTGTCAAAACCACACCAACCTGACTTGGCCTAACCTCTGTCTCCTCCTCTTCCTCCTTAGCTGTCTACTCCAGCTGTCATCTGGAGGCTCTTGCTCTTATTTTAATGTGTTTGTGTAGATGCTCTTAGGCATGTAAACCCCACCAAGGGAAAGGCGTTGGTTTTCTCTCTTAGTGGACACCAAAAAATCCATATAAATACTGTGACCAAAGAAACCTGATTCAGAATGTGTGCTTCCCATGATGTTAAATCAGTAAGTCTTAAGACACAATTCCAAAGGAAATCAAATTTCTTTAGATTGATATTCACTGAACTGTTTTAATTAATCTAACTCACAACTTTTGTTTCCACCAGGACAATTAGTATCTGCTAGAATGACAGCTTTGATATCCTTCTCCTGGGAGATAATCAGCTTCATTATTTAAGTAATCAGATGAAATGTGGGATAAGCAAATCTTAATTTTGTAGTGAATTAGAAAACCATGCAGTAAGAAGGAAGTGAATCAGCTGGAGACAGTCCAGAGGACAGTGACAAGTGTAGAAACTATCACCTAAAAGAATGAAGAAAAAAAATTTGTGCTGGTTTAGTTTGACACAGAGAAGAGAGAGCGAAGACATTATAACACAAGAGGTTGCTACAAGGAGGAAGAGAACAATCTATTTCTTTTGCCTGTGTTTGATAGAACAAGAAGTAATAGGCTTAGATTACAGCCAGAAAGATTTATTTTAGAAATTTCTAAAAACTTTAATGGCAGGGATAGGGAATAGATTGCTTGGCAAGCTTTTGGAGTTTCTGTCTCCATTGGAGATCTGTAAGATCAGAATACTTGAATAACTGCCTCCTGCAGGAAAAAGGATGGATTAGGTGGCTTACAAGATTCTCCGTAGCTCTACTGTATATTCTACTAGTAAAACTGTAGTTTAAAATATAGGCTTCCTGTATTCTTCTTATGCTCTTATCATCTTCAAGCACTGATAAAATCCTTCTGTGGAAAAGAGAGTAAACAATGCTATTAGTTCTGTGATCTTGTAATGAAAAATGGAAATACATCTTGGAATAAAGTACTTTTTGATATACCTTCATTTAGATAATTGTGCAGAAGCACTTGGAAAGTTGGCCATAATAGAGGAAAAACGTGTGATAAAATTCATTTGTTTAAAATTACTTTTTCAGCACCTGTTACTGTTGTACTGAATGATATCACTGGAGATCACTCATGTGGGAACTTCAGAAATCAATTGAATAAAATTGCCCTAATTGTATTCAGAATACTAAATATAGTTTTAGATTTTATATTATCATTTCTTCTGTTTCAAATATTTCACTTAACTGGAAGTATTAAAAATAGCATTTTAGTTCTCAAAAAAATTGTATGTACCATGTGAAATCCATTAAAAAAAAAAATGAAAGAGATAAAATCTAGACATTTCAGAGATATTCCTATTATAGCCTTTGTGTCTGAATCATCCAGAATCAAATGTTTGGGCTGCAGAGGTTGGCACCAGACTTGTAAAAAAATGTTCTCCAACAGATACTCTTGACACAGAGCTTTGAATCCATTTGTTTAATGCTGCAACCTTAATTTTTTGCATCTTGCATTATAACTCGATTGCAATTTGCTTACATTTCTGTAATACGGCTGGGGCATATTTTACTGCACTTTTACTTCAGGATATCATAGAATTTTGACTCAATTGTTCTAAGTACATAGGTTGCTCCGAAAGTAATGCCTTGTATTTATTTCCTTGGAAACCACAATGGATACAAAGAGCACAATAAGACTATTTGGTTGAGCAAATCTACGAAACACTTTCTCAATACAGTCATGACAATTAGCTATGTGTTTTCACCGGCAGCATACAAGAGCTTGCATGCTATGCTTGTCAAAATCTGCACTGGTGGAGGTGACCCACTGTTTCTGAGCTGCTATGATGACATCATTGCTAGAAAAATATTGCCCATTCACTCTGTCTTCTATTGGCCTGACAGATGGAAGTCCAAAGGCACCAAATCTGGACTATACAGTGGGTGTGCTGCAACAGTCCAGACAAGATTGGCTGTATACATGATAGTCTTCAAACTGGTATAGGGCCTGGCATTTTCGTGTTGCAAAAAAAGGGCTTTGTTTTTCTCTGACTTGACTCTGGAAATCTGAGCCTCCATCTTAGTTGGTTTTGCAATGTAGAGGTCAGAGTTGATGGTTTGTCCAGGTTCCAGGCAATCCCTTTTTCCAAACACAGTGCACATCACTCTACCAGCTGAGGGCTGCAACCTGTTGGACTTGGAAACCTATGCTTCTGCAGACATGCGTGTCCCATAAACTTCAGCACAGTATAGTTGTCTGAAGTTAACCATAAATAAGGCTGGTCAGCTTTTAGAAGGAGAGTGACTCCTGTAATAGGGAGCTGTGTTCATTAAATTTATCAGTAAGATGCTCTGACTTCTCAAAATCATGCAGCTTCTACTGTGTGAAACCAATTGCTTAAGGCAAGCTCAATAGCACCTTGCCACTGATATTTTTCAATCTGTGACCTGCAGATTTCTTGGAACATGTTTAAATACTGAGAGTTTAACAAGAGAAGAGTTCCTAGATGTCCATAAAAAAGGGTGAGCTGTGGCCCTGCGTACTGAGAATATGCACCATTTAGCAACTTGTTGATATAGTTAAATTCATTGTGGATTTAACTCTTAACAACACGCATTTGTATGCAGAACACTTGAAAATGGCAAGTTTAATAAACAGTCAACTTTTTAATTGAGAAGCACAAAATTAAGTAGTTAATTAAGAAGCAAGAATCCTGACAGATTTTTGTAGCATTTTTTAAAACTAGCCCCTCTTTTCTGGGCATTCATGTTCTCTAATGGCGATCAGGCACATATTCAAAGTGGTTTTATAGGTACATTTCCTTACATTGAATAGACACAATGGATTTTAAACAGTTTCATAGCAACGGATGGTTCATGATGGCCATTAACCTAGATAAGTGAATTTCTGTTTGTTGCATCCTTAATGGTCTGTGGGTAAAAAAATCTTTCTCTTCATCTGTTTCTAAGAATTTTATTGTGATTTTTCTTTCACAATTGTATTTTACAGAGCAGATTCATGTGAATTTTTGCAATCAGGAGGGAAAAAAAAGCATTCAAGAAAAGGTAAGAAGAACATTTACAACCAAAGAAATGTATGTTTCTCTGGAATTTAGTACTGATAGCACAGCCTAGCAGGTTATCAAAACTTTTGAAAAGTTGAGTACACACCTTGACACCAGCTTAGAATGCATTCCTAAATAATAAAGATTTTCAGATGACTGTTTCTATACCTGTTGAAACAGAGCCAGCTGGACTTGAGAAATGCAGCCTGATGTTTGGTTTCTGGTACGCCGCTCCTTCGTGCTGCTGGGACATACCATATCTATCGCTTCTGGGAGAGAATGCCCTGCCCACAACACACTGCTACTGCCAGGGCAGGGGAGGAAAGCCTCACGACACCTGATGGAGCTACTGCCAAGCCCTGGGAAGGGCAAGACCGAGGACCTGGGATTTTGGGATTGAGGCCAGGTGCCGTGAACCTGGGCCTGGGCTGTGTGGTGCTAGTGTGGCTGTGCTGGCAGAGGCCCCTAGCAGAGCTGCAGTGCTGGCTGCATGAGGACAGCTGTAAATCTCAGAGGAAGTTGCGCCATCTCTCCTCGTGACAGAGGCTTGGCAGGAATGCCTCACCCACCCTGCTCACAGAGGCAGAACAGGCAGAGCCGTTGTGTCAACACAGCGTGTGCATGGGGGGCTGCGAATTCCCTGCCCTGCACACACGCCTGGCACAGTGCAGGCATTTGGGAAGAACCCAGCAGCACATGCGTAGGCTGAGGGACATCCCCAGATTCTCCTAGATTATTAAATGGCAGCATAGAGCTGTGTTTTGAAAGTGCTGCTTCAGTATAGTGGGATGTTAAGTTCTCTACTGTGAGAGCGGTGAGGTGCTGGAACAGGCTGCCCAGAGAGGCTGTGGATGCCCCGTCTCTGGAGGTGTTCAAGGCCAGGATGGATGGGGCCCTGGGCAGCCTGGTCTCATATTAAATGGAGAGGTTGGTGGCCCTGCATGTGGCAGGGGGCTGGAGATTCATGATCCTTGAGGTCCCTTCCAACCCTGGCCATTCTGGGATTCTGGGATTCTGTGATGTACTACATGGTATCTTGGTCTGTCTGCACATGGGGCGTATTTGCATTAACCTTAACGAGACTGACAAAAGTAAGAAGCAAGTTTAAAGAAAATTGGATTAAATGACTTAATTCTCCACAGTTGAAGACTTTAAATTTTAATCAAGTCTTGAGTCTGAGGCTAATAACTTAGAGTGAATGTTTAAAATGACTAAAATCTAAAACTAAACATGTATATCTAATGTGCGTTAGCACTGATGTGTTTGCAAAGCTGCAGTTCCCGAAGATGTGCATATTGGAATGACAGATTTCAAAGGCCAGCATAGGCTTTGCCCAAAGCTCTGGATTGGGGTTCACTGTGTTTTGGATCAGCTGTACCTCAGCCGTTACCCTGTGCTCATGCAAACCCCGAGGCCTGTGTGCTGTGGAGCACCTTAATGAAACGCTTTGGTCGTTATGTTCACAAAGATGGGGCACTGCAGTGCCAACTCTAGCCATGCTTAATGTGCAGGACAGTCAGAAGGCTGTTAAATTCTCTGCTGTGCACCTGAAATATAATCTTTACAGAAGAAAAAAAAGCAAAAAACAAACAAACAAAAACATGGGACAGGTGGTTTGAATTCCAGTCTGTTAGGCCTCTTGCCACAAGGCCCTCTGACCTCTTGAGTACTTGGGTCTTGATAATAACGTAAAGTCACTGGATTTCAAAGCTTCTTTCACTTGGGGTTTCTTTTCCACGTGGCTCCGATAGGTTGGAGGGACTTTGCATTAGTCCAAAATAGATTGCTGATGGACAGTGGAACTTCTGAACCCCAGATCCCTGCAGCTAGCTCATGCCATACTTAAGATCCTTCTCACACAGGGTTCTTCTCACAGGTATTTCACATGAAATATCTTCTCATATATCCAGTTATCTGCATGTCTGGGAAAGAATTCGTCTGTGAGGGCAGGTGTTAGGTGCTGGCTGTCCAGCTGCCTCCAGAATTGAGTGAAAAGCTGAATCACAGATAATTCCCCACATGTGCAGTGGTGTGTGCCTGGGGTTAATTCACTCTCCTGGTCGCTATTCATACCTGTTAACCACACAGCAGGTGCTGGCACCAGCAGCATGTACATGAAAGCGATCGGGGCTGTTGGGAACTGCCTGTGCTGGACGTTTTGTTCATTGTCATGAGATAATGAGGGATTGCCTTGGCCCAGCAAAAGGTATTAGCATTTGTTAATTGAAGAAATGGCAATAAAACCTTGTAAACATTATTTTCTTGGATTTGCATATCTAAAAAGGATCGGGAGAATGCTTTAATGATAAACAATACAAAACTTCCAATAGCACATTTTTGAATGCATGCAACTCTAATAATTTTAGTGAAGTCATCATAATTCTATAAGGATGTTATAGCACATTTGCAAGCTCGTTGTGACCTTCCGACATGCCTAATGTAGAACTATGCAAATATAAATTAATAGATGTTTGACTAATAGACTAAAATATTTTAGAAGAGCTGTGAAGTACACAAATATAAAAGCTAAACAGTTTGAATTTTGGTATGCTTAAGAAATCATTTGTTATGCTAAAAGAAATAATCACCTTTCCCAAGATGACGCCTTTACTTCATGTGGGATAACTTGTCCTGTCAAGGCAAAGATGCTATGTCTTTAACAGGGATGGTTAACTTCTAGCAATATCTTGCCTTCAGTCTACCTTTGGAGTAGTTTTGGGAATGATCAGCCTGATGTGAGGCTAGCAAAGGTAGCGAATGTCCATTAAATTTCATCCACTCTCATCTGAATCTGATGGTCAAAAGTCTTCACTAGCTCCGTGTTACCCCTGTGCTATCATCTCCGCTGTTCTAAATTTGGTTGAAATTGTCGAACAGGTTGAAAAATCACCAGGGAAAGCGGGGTAATAGTGAGTTGATGTGTTTGCATAAGCCTTATTTCTTTAGGACATTATACAACAAAGTTAAGAGCCTGCTGGATGTTGGCATCTGCAATATTCAACAGTAAAGATATTTTGTTTCGCTGTTAATGTTACTGCCAGTTTGTGTAGAAAAAAAAAAAAAAGCAGTTTGCTTAACAGCACAATTCTAATTAGTCTTCATCATGTGTGGCGTTTTGTTTAGAAAACATGTAAAAGTTAAAGCAAATATAGTCTACCTCATGTTGTCTGTAGTTAGCATTTCGATCAGAACATCCAGTTCTTTCTTCTCTCTTTCCTTTTAAAATTATGTTTTTATTTCAACGGTACTTTCTACCAGCAGGCAAAGCTGCTGTTACAATCTACCCAGCTGTGAAATCAATATGATTTTCATTACAAAGATAACAGAAACTCTCTTAGAAAGACTGTGAATTGCCAAAGGTCAAATAACAGTCAGTGGCAGAGCTTAGAATTTAGATGTCCTAATTAAAAAATCTTCTGGTATAAATATATTAATGAAATGCACCCTGAGAAATGTTTGCATTTAAGATGGCAACACTTTTGCACTATTATGTTGTACCTTTAATTACTGTATACATGTGAGTCCTATTAAAATGCTATACTTCTTTCTCCACAATATGACCATTTTTTATAAAATAGGTGCTCAGTTCTAGTTTCCTTTTTTTAATTCACAGTTATTTCAGCATGATTGGATTAGAAAGTGTAACAGTTACAGAACAGAGAACATATCTAGTAAGATTTCTGTTGTATTGGACTCTAAAAATTACACATAAACCAAATGAATGAGTACATCAGTTATTTCTGATAGATGACTTCATTAAAAATGAGAGGAAGTGCACAGTAAAACTGAAAGCAGCACTGGAATCTTTCAGCCGGAGCAGCCACTTCTCTATAAATTAAAATCAGCATTTTAAAAGAAACGTTACCAGTCTTCTGAAGACTTCTGTGATCTTCTTCTTATTAAACCTTAGTTCTTCCATCTGAAAATTATATCAACGTTATTATCAATGAAAATTCCAGGAAAGCAATTATTTTATTGCTTCTGTTTGATATCCTTCCCTCCTATTCTCTCTCTCTTTTTATTTTTTATTTTTCAATTTAAATTCTGTCTTTCTACTCTGTGTGTTGAATCAGTAAAATCGGATTGCTAAATATTGTGGATTTTAATAGGAAAAGTTCTCCACCTTACAGCTGAAGGGTTTTTATGTTATTGTGCTCCCTCTGCTGGATAGTACCTATTAATTTTTTATTCCCTGAGCTGTACTAATATGTGTTGCATAAACAAAGCAATCATACTGTCTTAATGAAAGAGGTATAAAAAGTGGGAATGCCTCACTTAGGTCTCAGATGACATGGAAAGTGACAGCAGTAGGCTAGGAAAAATCCTGTTTTCTTGCAGCTAGATGCAATCAAAACCCCTATATGGTTATCTGAAGAACAGTTATTTGCTATCTCTTGAACAAAACCAGATGGATATTAAATAACCTTCCCTCATTTGTTTAACTTAGAGAGGATGATGTTGATTCTCATGCTCTGCTAAGTGCAACAGTGTCCTGAGATGTCCGCATGATGTTATTAGAATCTCAGTCTTAGTGGGGTGGTTCTCATAACTTGTCTCATCCTTTGTTGAATCTTACAAAGTCACTGCTGTGCCAGCATTTGTGCAGTGGATAAAGCAAGCATGCTCAGACTCAGTGCAAGGCAGGCAGCAGATTGCTGCTTTCCCATCGCCACTGCAGTGACCCAAAGAAGAGGAAGAGGAACAGTCCAATTTTGTTCAGAGAAGTGGTGTTGGTCTTTGCTGCCTTTGACTTCTTGTGGTGTTTTGGCCTTGGGCTCCTGCTTGCTTCTTTCCTGCCGCTTTCACACAGTGAGCCTGTCTTCCATCTGCTGTCCTGTGGTGACCTGGTGGGGTACAGCCCCAGCCCCAGATCCCACCCCATAGCACACCCTGCAGAGCCACCCAGCTCCACTCCCACGAGCATGGCCACCCTGGTCCTGCAGGCACCCTGCTCTCTGCCATCAGATGTATGAAAAGGGGATGGAAACAAAACACGCACTTCAGATTTGCCAATCTGAGCTTCTGCCATGGTTTTGCCAGGAAAGTTGGACACTGTGTTCATTATCTTTGTAGTTTCCTCAAAACTTAATGTGATACAGCAAATGCCACTGCATATTACTGACACTGAACTGGAAGTTGTTTTCAGCTTATCTTGACTGACTTACAGATGTAACTCCAGTATTTCCATATAGATTGGACTGACAGTGTATTTATTTTATATTTTTATTTCTATATATATTTAAAACAGTATTCAAAGTTTTTCATGATCCCAAACAATGCAACAGTGAAATAATCTGCATAGTTATCTTCTCTATGAGTAACTCTTGTAAATACAACCCCTAATATGCATGAATATTTTCATTTCCAAACAAATTACTTTTAAAAACCTACTTCTTAAAACCCAAACCATTCAAAAGAATAAACATCCAGTTCCTGAAACCTTCAGTTCCTCTTATTTGGATGAGAAGATGGATGTTCAATGTATTTTACATTCACTATAGTAATAAAAGCATATCGTGCCATTGCACAAATATGTTACCTTAAACTAGGAGGGCCTAACCAGGATTGGTGTCAATCATGGCAGAGCACATTGGCCTGGGATGCATCCTCCTCATGGAGGAAAATTGGGGCACCAAAGATTTCTGCAGGAGTCGCCATCTGTGGAGGGGCCTCATGGTTCAGGTTGAAAACTGTTTGCTTCAGTTTTGGGGCCCTGCTGAGTTACAGCCTCTAAAGCACTTAGCAGTGCTTGTCTCAGCAGCAGCACACACCATATGCTTTGGGAGCATTCCCAAGCGGAATGTTATCCTCACTGCACTCCAGCATGCTCGTTAATGCTCCCATTATTTCATTCAGTGGGACTAATCCAAAGGCCCCTGAAGTTGTCAAAGCTGTCTTTAAGATACTCTAGATAAAACCTGGGGTTGCGTGATTTAAGTCACACTGATTCTCAAATCATAAGTGATAGTTTATATGCTGGTTTCTTTATTCTGAGCTATCTGTTTTCCTCCATCTTTTGAAAAATATTGATGTGAAATGGAAAAAGGAACAGAAGGGTTTGAAATGCTACTATTTTTCTCTCTCTCTCTCTCTCTCTTTTTTTTTTCCAGAGAAGGAATGGATTGAATGTACACTGCATTCCATACAATGCTAGTTCAAATTCAAATGTATGTATTGATCAATAATACAATCAATTTCCCCAAATATATGATCAGCTCATGGGAAAGTCCAGAGATTTTGAAGTTGACATGGATAAAGGAAGTGCTGGATTAAGCTGTTGTAGTTCTCAGTCAATCCTGGTCACTCCTTGTTGCTTTCTGGTCACAAAACATGTTTAGTAGAAAAAAATATATATTTTGCAAAATCACCAGTTATATTTAAGAGGAGAAAAATTAGACTTTGCCAGGAAGAAACCCTCCTTAGGTCCCAATATTTTATCAGATGATGGTATTTCTTTAAATGCTGGCAATTTTTCTGTTCATTCCCATTTATTTTAAAAGCAGATTTTAATTTTTCTTTTGGGGAAAAAAAAAATGGACAGAAAAGGATGGGATGTGTGGGGACTGAGGAAGAATGAAACAACAAACTAAGCTGACAGAAGATACTATTTCAAATGAGTGTGTTTCTGGTAGTGGGAGGGAGACTAAGACCAAACAAGAAAGAATGGCTGGGGAGGATCTACTCGGAATTCCACTGATGTGCTAACAGCTGTTATTACAGTATCTGGCTTTTTGAATTAAATATTGATAGAAATAAATGAAAAAAGAGATCAAGTAAACTGGAATGTGTGTTCTGCCTTCCTAAGACTACCAGACTCAACACCCTTTTATACAATTAATTGTATTAAACACCGACATCAGCTGACAGGAAATAAGAAAGTTCCTATGGCAACTAAAAATAAGCACAGGAGGAAGAATGCATCAAATGCTGTCAGCAGACAGCATAAAAGGCAAATATATGGAGATAACAGCACAAAAGAATATACGAGACCTGTCTCATAAACAACATACATGCTTGGATGGCTTGTTTTTGTTTCCTTCCCAACTAGGAACACTGCACCTTACATACAGAATCTACTTACCAACAGTTAAATCACCTTGCAGAGTGTGGCTCCTGGCTTACGTGCTGTGCAACGTAGGGGCAGGACCCACGAGTTCGAAAGCAGAGGCAAGGTGAGTGCACAGCTGTACCACGTGTAAGCTGTCATCTCAGTGGGAGAATGAATTTTAAAACCATTTAACTTCTGAACTTCTTGGATTACCTGCTTTTCCTGTCTATCTTTTTTTCCTACCTCCACTTCTCTCACAAGAAGCAAAGCTGAGCCTGCCCCAGACCTGTGTGGTGTGGAGAAAGCTGCGTTATTTTCCCTTCACTCTCCATGGTCTCAAGTTTCAATTGCTCCTGCAGACCCTTCCAGGCTCTCTCTTCTGGTACATCTTGGCCATTAAGTACCTCTACAGACATAAAATCATTTTCCTGTGTGAAGGTGTTGCTATTTTCACAGTAAAATACTCCTGCTGTGCAGTGCTGCACCTCCACACAGGACCTTTGTCACAGTGGCTGTGCCCTTGTGGCTCTGCTTGCCTGATGCATCGAAGATAAACCTGCAACTCCCCACATCCTGGCCAGCTCAGGAAACTTGGCTGCTGAGCAGAAGACAGCCCCACATATAGCAAAGGTAGGTATCATTTCTCCCCTGGTAGCTCTGTCCTGTTAAGTGAAACAGTTCAGTAACGTGAACTGTGGCATTGTGAGGTGATTGAGGAGAACACCAATGAGGACCAAAAGCAAGGGTTGGGAGAAATGTGGTCATACTGCTCCAGTGCTGGTAGAGACCCTTATCTTTACTCAGGACTTTTAGTGTGTCTATGCTGAGTGATGCCCTGGCTTTGAATTCACTGCTCGTGTTGGAAAAGATGATTCTATCATTATAAGGAAAACCTTGTTGTCAGTCTTAGGGCTGTATGAAAGCTCCTCCTGTAACCCACTCCTCTGCTCTGGTGGACACACGTATTATCATTGCTTCCATATAACTCATCTGGACATGTGTCTGTATTTTTACCCTTCCCATTCCTGTTGTGCCATGCTTATGATACGGTATCACAGATGCAACCCATCATTATGTGATTCACGCTGCAAGTCAATGCATGTAACCACAGGCATGCAGAGTGTGAATAGATATCAGGCACTGGTACTATTATAGCTTACTCTGCAGTTTGCTCGTGTACTGGCTGTTGGGAGCAGTAAATGCCCTACCTCAGTGTGGAACATACTTGCACTGCCTACACATGCACAAGAAAGAAAGAACCACGTGCACAACTCCAGGTAAGTTTAGGACCTGATCATGAGTTGTCCACAGCAAAGCATTGGAAACCAGGTGATGTCATCAGCCAAGGGGATCCGCTTTCTCAAATTGGCTGACAAGAACAAGCAGACACATGTTATGTTTTGCTCTGATACAATAAGCACTGTGAAGATATTAGCTGTTTTCTGATTGAGTAAGGGTGTGTACTACACGTAATACTCCAGCAAACAAAATTGTTCTGAAATTATCTAACTAGGATGTCACTGCAAAGGGAAATGGCCTATTCCATATATTCCAATATTCAATATTCCATTCAGGGGATGGCAGTTGAGCTCTTAGTCCAGTAACAAGCTCATTCTTATTTGTGCCTTTGCTACCTGGAAGCAGAGGGCAGCACGCATCTGTGCTTCAGATAGGTCTGGTGCTGTGGGACATCTGGAGTCATACAGATACAGCTGGCACAGCTGGCTCTGTTCTTCCAACTGGCCAGCGAGCTCACTGCTCTCTTCATGAGACGAAGGAACTTGTTGACCACTTCCCCAGTGCTGATGCAGAGCTGGATAATTGCAGTGGTTACTGTGGTTAGACTGTAGTGTATTTTTTCATACTCTTCTTGTGAAATGTTGCAGCTCAACCCACCTTTTGCTCCTGGCAGATGATAGATGTGCAGGCTGTGCAAATGGGTGCAGCAGGAGTCAACTGATGTTTTTTTCCTCCACAACTAGGTTGTATTCTTCACCTTGTGTGAACCAGCAGGGCAGCACAGTAGGCAGTGGGTCTGATACAATCAGGTCAGATTTAGCATTTAATTTATCCTCTCATATTCAATAACATTCTCTGATTACTGAGTTGAAATAAACAAGAATCAATGACAAGCAAACAAAGGATCAGCGATCTTGTAATTTTTGTTTTGTTTGTTTTGTACTTTGCTGCTATTTTTTATTTGATATGAATCTTAAGGCAAATATTAAGAAAGAAGCAGAAGGAACAAGATATATGCTTTCAGTGTTGTTACTAAACAACCTCAGGATTTTTTTTCTTAATAACTTTCTTGAAGTAGACAGTTTCAATGTCTCTCTTAGTTTAGTTAGAGCACAAAATGAACTATATGTTCACAAAAGGCACTATATGTAAAGTGTAAGTTCTGTACCAAAGCCTGCTATTAGTGGTTCAGAATATGACGGCTGAAATGCAAACTGTCCAATATGCCAAACTTCAGGGAGATTTAGATTAAAAAAAAACAAATCTACAAAGCACAGAAATCAATTTTCATTTGAAAAATGTGCTTTGAACAATGCCAACAATCAAAAGAATTTCAAAAGTCTTGTTTGTAGAAGGGATAAATACATCCTTCTTCTCTGCTTTGTCACCTTTAACAAAATCCAATTCCACTGAACCTGGAAAACCTTTTGACAAAGTTATTTGGCTTACCTGCTCCAATGCAAATTTTCACTGTAGCATCATTACCAACAGTTGCTGCAAGTGCTACTCACTCAGCATGGTTGATCCAGCCAGTAGTTAGACCCAGAAGCTGAAAGGGATTCTGTGTCAATTAGCACAATTTCAGCAAGCTCAGCTGTTGGAATTTTCCTTTGTATAGGGCAGAGGAAGTGATGGCCCTCACATTCTGGGTCTGAAGCTCAGGTAAGTCCTGCTGATGAGGTGCTTGAACAAACTCCTAAAAAAACCACCTGTCAGCTGGAATATGGAAAAGAAACCAGAAGAATGAGAAAACAGGAATGCCTTTGCAGTACTGGTGTGTAGTGCAATGCTTTTTTTCCTTTATAAAGTGATCAGCATTCTACTAAGGTCTTCATTATAACAGAATCACAGAATTAAGGGAGTTGGAAGGGACCCACGGGAACCATCTAGCCCAAGCCTCTGACAGAGCAGGTTCCCTGGAGTAGGTTGCACAGATCTCTTTGTTAGCAGGTGACTTCAGGATGACGATTAACAATTCTCTGCCTCACGGATAAATCTTTCAATGAATGCCGAGGTTACATTACCAACGTAAGGTTACATTTGCTGTTCATGGGTAGCATACTTGGAATGAAGTACTTTACAGTGATTCTGTAAGTGCTCAGAACACTTCTGGAAATGCTATTAAGAAATGCGTAAGAAACTTAGGAAACAAAGCAAAACTGAGCAGTGTACAAGCTGGTCTGTCTCTGTATGGGAGATTTCTCAGAAATGGAAAGAAATTCTGACAGCAGTAGGTCAAATGTTCTGTTGACATTGCTGCACTATTCTGTTGGAAATAACTTTCCTCATTAGAAACAAATGCAAAATTTTGCATGAAGCTTTTTCTCAGCTAATTTAGAGCAGGTTCTTTCATGTGTTTATTCCTAAGGGATGCAAAACATTTCTATTGCAACGAAAGATGGAGTTGATGAGTACCTTGCAGGACTGGGCCACCGCTACTTCAAGGATAATCCCACATTCTGGGGACCTCAGGAAGTGCACCAATGCAGTCTACTCAGTGACTTGCTAAGTAAATGAGGTTTAAATAATCTTTATAAATATAGTCTCATTGGGAGCTCCTTGCCCATGATTAATCTGAAAATAACCAGAATTTCATTGGATTAATAAATCAAAATTTTCAGTTCAATGCAACTTCAAAATTGAGGGCACATTTCTTTTTGTATTGAGAACATAGTTTTGTTCCTTGTTCTGTACGTTTCTATTTCTTCAGTAAGTGTAATTTGAAAGAGGAAGAGAAATATATGACTGATGCATTAAGATCAACCACGATAGGTGATTTAATATACAAAAGGCTCTTCAGATATTCCGGGAAGAAAATGTAAGTGAAAAATGCAGTATTATGGCTAGTACTCATTTGCTGTGTTACAGTCAGAAGTACAGTATCTGAATTTTCCTCATGATTAAAATAGCTTTTAACTTTACTGGCAAGTCCAAGCTATACCACGGCGTTAGTGATAACCAGGTTATCTTGCATGTGCAGCCTAGGAGCACATGGCAGCAGGGTGTGTGATGCACATAAGTCACTGTCCAGAGCCCAGAACAGTGCATAAATATTGTCTACAGAGCACAAAGCATATTTTTAATTTTATGCTAACATATGACAAGGACATTTTAAAAATGTCTGGCAAGACAGTATGAAATCTTCTTATTGTAAGTCACAGGATTAATTTGTGAGCTCCAAATCCGTTTCACATTAATGTTCTTGAAGCACAGGCAAGCAGGGCTGTGTCATGCCCAGGACCTTCCTGGTTACGAAGGACACAGGATGGAAGGGAAACTGCCAGAAACCTCCTTTCTGTTGAAGGCTGTGGTGGCAAGGAGGATGAAATCCTTCCAGGTTTATGTCTGTAACCCAGCTGTTGATGGTTTGAGCTTCAAGAGTGTTGGTTTGCCAGGTGAGAGGCAGAGGAGAGGAGCTAGGAAGCATTCAGTGGGGCAGGCTGGTCACTCAGATGGGACCTGCACCTTGGGCTACCCGTCCACGGCTCACACAGAGAGACCAAAGGGGCTGCCCATGTCCACTTGGTTCTCCCTCTTGTTATCCCTACCTGTTGCCATGGCCTTCTAATTCACCAGGCTAGAGAAAACAAAGTGACTGCATAAAGTGAAATGTTAGCCTGACTTTTTCAGTTGCCTATGTGCATGCAAAAGATGCTATGAAAGGAGGCTGCTTTGTGAAGATGCATCAAAGAGGGATTTCTACTGTTTGTCATTGGATTTCATTTCAGTGCTAAATCACATCAACCTCTGCAAGAAGTCAGGAAAAAATGGAAAATGTGTCGCTGCTGTCATCCCAAGTTTTGTTTGCATTTATTTACATTAAAGCTCTTGTTTCTGTAGGACTTTTGAGGCTGATCTTGTTCTTGTCTCTTCTGGGTTTCAAGAATATATTTTAGATACTATGTCAAGTCTCAGTGTTGCTTGTATTACATCTACAGACTGCAAAATTAGGCGATCTGAATTATGTTCCTAGGAAAGCATTTTAGCATCGAAAGCCATAAGTTTCTAATTATCAGTTTAGCCATCATGCATTTTAATAATATATATTATTATTATTATTATTATTTGCATGTGTTAACATTATCTACTAGAATAAATATTAAATGGATGCAAAGCTTTGAGAGTCAATCAGTAAAACACAATTCTAGTATTTTCTGGATAGAATTTGTGCAATTTTTGCTTTCTTTGGTTTTGTGCATTGCAATCAGTCTTTAATTAAGAGAACATATACTTTGTTTTTGTATTTGCTGATAGATCTATTCTCTTGAAATTCTTTAAAGTCAGACACCTGGCATGGAAACATAGTTCATATAAATGGCGCATTAATGGGCTCAGTATTTGATTTTATCATTGTGTTCATTGAGTGTACAATGCCTTATTAATTTCACATTGTGCAAAGTTGGTTTAATTCAGAATTATTTGTTTCCTTATGACCATTTCTTTTATGGTCGTCATTAGAGTATCCAGCTGTTTCACAAGCAGTAATGAACTTCTGTCATACTACTTTGCTGCAATGAAGAGTATTATTAGTCCAATTTTTTCAGATAATAAACTGAAGCAGAGGAAAATAAATAATGACTAACTACAGATTTTGAACACTGAGTAGGAAAAAAAAAACAACACTATCATCAGATTCTGGTGCAGTCTTTTGTTCATGGCACAGTCCTCACTGATGTAATGTGTGAGGACTCAGTGCTCCTGCATGACGAAGGTAGGGTCTTGATTCAAATGAAGAGAGCAAAAGTGAAGCAAATGAAGTTTTAAATACCTTGCCTCACACAGCAGCTCTATCAGTCAGTGGCAGATTTCAGGCCTCCAGGGCAGCGTTCAGCTGTCTTAACTATGAAATCAATTTTTATTTTACTGCAGTTTGTTCTCTTGAGTGGTGCATGCATTCCACCTAGAGTTAGGGTGGAAATTGCTTTCCAGTTCCTTGCAAGTTTTCCAGCCCAGCTTCACAATGGGATGCTTGTTGAAACTCTTCAAGGACATCCTGGAAGAACCAGAGCTGCTCAGAGGAGTCTGGGGAGGAATCACAGGGTTGCTGGCCCTCTGGAGCTTGACCTCTTCCATTCTGCTGCTTCAGTCAGCCTGCTTGCACTCTTTCTGGCCTAATAGAGCACCTCTGTTTTATGTGAAGAAGAAAGAACTCTTCCAGCTGTGTCAGATCTGACTCATGTCCCTGCCGTGGGGCGATGAGAAATGCTCATCAAAAGGGTGCTGCCCTGTGGGTGTCCCCAGTAAAAGGAAGTTAATGCCTTCCTCCCTGCTTCTTTGCTGCAGCCAGGGGTCAGATCCACACAGCCTCAGCCTTGGTTTCGTGTCCAGCTCTGGAGTCAGCACCTGGGACTAGCAATTGCAGGGAAAGCCTTGTTTTAGCCTCCTTTATTCTGGGGTCAGGAAGAATGTTGGCTTAGCATGAACAGAAAATGCTGTTGATCAACTGCTACTAAGATAGCAGTTGATCTGCTATGTTATATAGCAGATATATGCAATCAGAATTTTTCTCAATTATTAACAACTTGGCTACATTTGAACATTATACCCCTCCACACACATAGATGCACAACAAAAGGCTTATCCATCACACAAAGGCTATTCAGTGCGAAATTTTACTTCCTTTTACTTCCTTGCTCAAGTTGTTGTACTGCCAGAAATTATTGACAGAACCATAGTAAATTTGTAGTAAATAGTATGACTGGCAAATAATATATTTTCTGCTGACTTTATTATTGGAAAAAACTGGACAATCCATGCTGACACCCTGTTGGAAACCAGACATGAAAAATTCCAGTCTCGACAGTTATATTTTGGAAGAGTTATGAGTGAAATGAAGGGTTTGTGTTGGGAAGAGTTTGGCAGCATTAACAACATAGAGCCTTGACCACTTGATTCATAATTGCTTTTCTCAAATTTTGAGCTGTGTATCACCTGTGCCCCTAACTTTCCAAGAGTCAGCATGCCTGGCAAGTCACCAGGTAGTCTATGGTGCTGGTATGAAGACAGCAGTGCTGAAAACGTGTGGAAGTATATAATGAGAAAATTAAAAGTAGAAATGCATTTTCTGTGCAATTTCCACAATACACGTAGTGAAATCTTTCAGTTTGCTCATGTCTCTGGAAAGAGCAGTTTTGAATCAGATGTGATTTTTCTTACTGAACATACGATGGGGTCGTCATATGTTATTTGCAGTTGATAATTTTCAGTTGTAGAATCAATGTGTTTACAGATTTGTTTCATTTTAATGATGTTAATTTAGGTGTGAACCACACAGACTATAAGATCATTAACACTGGTCCTGTCCTCATTTGAAAAAAAACCAGTATGTATTTCTTCTGTCAAATAATTTGTGGAGAGAGAATAGATGGAATATTGTGTTGGTGTGGTACAATGCTGTTTCTTTGAGTTTGCTCAAAGAAACATCAAGTGAAATGACACTCTAACTTATCTTGCAAGCTTATTATTATGGTAGAATTTGCTTTAAATAACCAAAGATCCCAGTGATTGGAGGTGGTTCTTCAGCTTCAGGTAAAGACAGTAATTGGTAGAATCAGTGCAGGATTATTTTAACAGCATGGGGTTAAAATGTGTGTATTTTTACATCTTTGGGAATTGTCAATCATTTTGTACCTGTTTATTTCACAGTCAGATTCCAATTACAGCCTACTGCTAGGAAACCTGGCAATAAAATTTGGAAAATACAGCTTGAAAGAGGTTATTGTGTTCTGAGGTATCATCAGAATTGTTGGTGTGTCTTTGGGAGCGGACAGGGGAGAGCAACACAAGTAGGTTGTTTTTCATTTCACTTTCTAGGCATGACCCAATGAACTTTCTCACAACTGGTAAGATTACACCAGTGAATTGCAGAAAGCAGATTTGCACTCTGAGCACATTCATGCCTTGACTGTGGGTGTCGTGGTGAAATAAAAAAAGAAGCCAGATTGTTGTGATAATGCCAAATTGACAGGACAAGACATAACTAGAAGGGCCAACACCCTGAGGCACGTTTCATCAAGTTGGAACTCAAAAATTTGATCATAGTAAAGTTCTTATTTCTCTCTTCTTGTTTACAAGTAGAATCCCAAATAGACAAGAAAAAGCGTCAGCTGCATCTGAAAGTTAATGAATACCTGAATGTCTTTATAGAGATAGTTTTGAACACAGTGCTGCAGACAAGTGCTTTTCAGACGTGCCTCGCATCCTACTCCTACCACTTTTAGTGGAGACATGGCAGCTGGCCTACTGCAACATCTCTAAAATTCCATGCGAATGAACTGTTTTATTAGGCACTAAATACTTTTGGAAATCAGGCCCATGATGACCAGAAGCAATCTGTCAGCTCACTGACAAGAGTTAGTATTTCTTTTGTGTAATATATTAGCTTTAAATACAAAGCATAGTTTGAAAACTTGTGTTGTTTTTTCTTTCATCTGTAAGCAACAGATAAAGGGTCATTCATGTTACCTGCAGAAACTATTTTAACAAGCTCTTCTTGTGCATTCTTGACTTTTAGTCCTGTCACCTGAGCACTGCTCATAGAAAAATTCAAGATAGAAATTATAGTTGGCAGGAAGTGTCAGTCTGCCAGGGGGTAGGAAGGCCCTACAACAGAGGGATCTGGACAGGCCAGATTGCTGGGGTAAGGCCAGTGGGATGAAGTTCAACAAGATCAAGTGCTGAGTCTTCCACTTTGGTCACAACATCTCCACGCAATGTAACAGGCTTGGGGCAGAGCGGCTGGAAGACTGTGTGGAAGAAATGGACCTGGAGGCATTGGTCAGTGCTCAGCTAAACATGAGCCAGCAGTATATCCAGGTAGCCAAGAAGGCCAATGGCATCCTGGCTTGTATCAGAAATAGTGCTGCCTTTAGGAGCAGCGAAGCAGTCATCTCTGTGTATTCAGCTCTGTTAAGGCTGAACCTTGAGTACTGTGCTCAGTTTTGAGCCTCCTCACTTGTAGCTCTGAAACACATTCAGAAAAGAGCAATGAAGCTGCTAAAGGGTCTGGGTGAGGGATCTGGAATTGTTTAGTCTGGAGAACAGGAGGCTCGAGGGAGATCTTATTGCTCTCTACAACTGTCTGAAAGGAGACTGTGGTGAGGTAGGGATTGGCATCTTCTCCCACATGAGTAGCGATAGAAAGAGAGGAAATGGCCTCAAGTTGCACCAGGGAAGATTCACACTGGATATTAGGAAAAATTTCTTCTCTGAAAGGGTGGTCAGATGCTGGAATGGGAACCTGCCCAGGGAGTCACTGTTCCTGGAGGTGTTCAAGAAACATTTAGATGGTGCACTAAGGGCCATGGTTTAGTGGGAAAATATTGGTGGTGGGTAGATGGTTGGACCAGGTAATCTTGGAGGTCTTTTCCAACCTCGATGATTCTGTGATTCTTTTACCTGCCATAGCTGAGTTTGCTATTTTATCACTCTCACACTTGGGGAACCTGCTGATACAGGTCCAGGAGCACTGGAACACACTGGTGGAGCAAACCAAAACTCTGCAGAGCAAACAGAGTGAAAACAATTGTGAAGTGGGGAGAAGCGTAGTGGGACCCAAGGTGGGCCCCAATGGGAAGGAGCTAATTCCATGACACCGCTGCAAGACTCACAGCCACTGGACATAATGACTTCAAACTTGAAGAGCCTTTTTATTCCCCAAATGTTATCTCCAATGTCATCTGTTATCCAGCACCATTTTTTAAAATGAACAGAGTGAAAGGGAGTGCGTAAAAACCCAAAATGCTGTGAAGCATTGTTCTGTGCACCAGGTCATGCCCTGCTTTCACTCAGTAATTTTAAACCAGCCTTTCTCACAATTCTCCTTTATCAACGCCGCTATATCTTGGGGAAAAAAGAAAAAAAAAGAAAGAAAAAAAGAAAAAAAATAGATGACTGGATGACTAGTTTCCCTAGCAGAGAAGAGAATTTTCCTACAACACAAATATATTTCCATTAATACAGCATGGTTTGTACATGCACGTCTGTAGTATATATAGACATATTGAATTTCTGGGCAATGTTCACTTTCTATCTTCAAAAGGGGCTTTCTGGGAGGGTTAAATCACAAATAATGTCAGTAATTTATTCCTAGATATATCTATGGGTGGCACAGAAATGCAAATCAGTTTTGTAAAAATCAAGAGACGTTTACTATTTGTACAAATGCTCCCTGTTTATTGCTCATAAGGAGCAATTTCAATGACAAATCACCATTGCATAACTCGGTTATAGACAGACAGCTTACTGGACTCCTTCCAAGATACACTGAGACATGCAACAAAATACCAGAGTGTAATTACTTTCATTATGTATTCCAATTAATCTGGAAACAACTGAGATAGTAAAGATCTCATCCTGCTAATTTTTATGGACATAAAACCCAATATTATTTATGGAGTTGGTGCCCTCTGTTTACCTGATTAGACTATGCACTAATCAGGCACAGCTTTTCTGGAAAAAGAGCTGGAGCATGGTAATTTGCCATCTTCTATAATTTTCTTTCCTCAGTCAAAACACAAGTGTATATTTTAAATCATGGCAATATTTTAAACTCGTGTATGTTTTGGAATGAATGACTTTAAAAAAATCCTGAACTAGAAGACCAATTTTAATGTCTGTTTCAGAGGCGCAGTCTCAAATCTGGGTTCCACTTCTGATAGGCTTCAGCGGTGTCACTATTTGACCAGGGCCCTTTTCCAATAAGCATAAGCAAATATTTTAAGTTGAGAAGCGTTTTTGAGATGAATTATCTTTAGTTAAGACATTACTTCAGTGGAAGAAAGGGTATCTCTGCACTTGCGGGCATGTGGCCATTTCTGACTGCTGTCCACCAACTTGCACACTTTGTCTCAGAAGGCACTGAGTTCTCTGTCTTCATTATTTCTTCCCAGTGCTTCCTTCTTTCTTTACAAATCAGATTAATTTTTACCTATCTGGAATTCCCTATGCAGGGAAAGGAGCTAGAATGAATCTAAAAGTGTAATGAGATGTTAATAACAGCGGGCAACTCGTTTTAATGCAGTTAACTAAAGACTATTATGTAGCACATTTTAAAGCCTTTAGCGCTCACAAAGGATGAGCACCAAAGTTAAAGGGAAAATCTCAATTGCAGTCTCCTGGAAGGGCAACTGATGCTGCAAACAGATGGAACAGAAACCTGGAGCAAAACCTCAGTATGTGAAGCACCCTGGGTGCCTGCCCAGCCTCGGGGCTCTGAGAGTGGTAGGAGGCCTTTGCTGCCTGGGGCCATGAGATACATCTGTAGTGTTAGGAGAGAGACAGCAAGCTGTCCATGAGACATATGGCATGCCATGCATCCACAGCCTAGGCCTTCCTCCCAGCTCCTGCTGCTTTATTGCTCTGGAGGTCCTCCAGCCATAGTGGCAACTTAGAGAAGACTTAGACTGATGTCTTCCTGGGGCAAATCAAATGCCTGGTCAGACTGCGGACTCTGCCTTTCCCTCCAGCAGCTCAATGGATGTAAGCTTGCGTGGGAGCTGTGCACAGGGTCTGTACAGTTCCTGCCAGCCCTCATCTTACCTCTTTGTTCCTCCCAAACAGCAACTCATGCACAAAGAGGACTGCTGGAGATGAGGAGATGAGGGCTGTGGTGGGCAGCTGCAGCCCACCGCAGACCTCTTTTGTGCAGAGAGGAAAAATATTTCTGTGCCTATTGCTAATCCCTTAGCATTAGTATTCCAAAACCTACATTAATTTTGCCTGTGGTCCCTTCTCACCTCTTTTTTTCCTTCCTGGCTTTTTCCTCACTGCCACCATACTGTGTTTATGGAACAATTACTCCACTGCACTTTGTGTTCCTAGTTTGAAAGCACCACTTTTTGTTTCGTCATTTTCTGGTTGTGTGAATTATCCTTTGAAGGCGTTTATATTCTGTGTCTTTTCTCCCATGAGCTCTCTCCTTGGCAGTCCATAGAAATTGAGTTTGTTCTGTTCAATCTAACTCACTGGATACCTTTTAATATTGCTTTCTATGTGTGTATTTCTGTGCCTTCACAACACTTCACAGCTGTGTGGAGCTGTGGATCCATACTGAGGTCCCGGTGCACTTCCTCACATAGCATACCCTATGGCCCTCATCACCTTTATGAAATAACACATGCTTGGTCATCCCTCCTAGCATTTTCTTCAACTCTTAACACGAAGAAAAGTATCAGTAAAATAAGATATCTATTAATGTATCAACAGCATGTCATTGTAAAGTCAGTGTCCCATCTAAAATCAGTAAGGCTATGATTCATCATGCAACACCATCCTGAGACCTGATTACTGAGTTGTTTGGGCTCAACCTTATGTAACCTGCACGGGCTGAAGACATTATTTCCAATCAAGTTATTTATGGCTCACATTGACTGATTTAAAGCTTTTATTCATCCCATTGGAAGGTGGATGGGAAGTCTCATGATTGCATGCTATCTGTAGGAGGAAACAGAAGCCCTGCAGACCCCTGATGCCCTGGATCTTGCTCTTCAAGGGACTGTGTAATAGAATCAGAATCGCAGAATCATCAAGGTTGGAAAAGACCTTCAAGATCATCCAGTCCAACCACCCATCTATCACCAATAGTTCTCACTAAATCATATCCCTCAACACGAAATCCAAACGTTCCTTGAACATCTCCAGGGTCAGTGACTCCACCATCGTCCTAGGCAGCCCATTCCAGTGCCTGACCACTCTTTCAGAAAAACAGTAAGCACTTCCTAGTGTCCAGCCTGAATCTCCCCTGGTTCAGCTTGAAGCCATTCCCTCTAGTCCTATCACTAGTTACATCAGAGAAGAGGCCGACACCCAGCTCACTACAACCTCCCTTCAGGTAGCTGTAGAAAGCAGTAAGGTCTCCCCTGAGCCTCCTCTTCTCCAGACAATTATTATTATTATTATTATTATTATTATTATTATTATTATTATTATCATTATTATTCACAGCATGGCTTTATTGAAGATGAGAGGTGATCAGAAAGTGGTGATCAGAAGTTTACAGCAGTTTCTGGTGTACAGAAGTATTGCCAAGCAGCACTAATGCCTCAGCCAGTTTTCCTTTGCCATCTCATCTGTGTTATTTATTTTCATACCCTGGTGATTTAATCAGTGTTAACGTGGGCTGAAGGCTCAGTGGTCCCAGAGCTCAGGTAGGGCTGCAGCTACAGGCTGAGAGCCTGCTGTACAGTTGCCGCTCTGCCCTGTACAGCACTGAGTCTTGGCTGGTTTGGGTAGAAGTTATCTACTACAGGCAAGCATGCCTGAACACTTAATATTTTAAATCCTCCTTGGTTTGGCATGTCTAATTTTCACTGGTCATATCTCCAAAATAAATAGATAGATGGATAGATAGGTTGATAGATAGATAGATTGACAGAGAAGGCTGTTGACATTAGAACAAGCTGCCCAGGGAAGTGGTGGCATTTCCATCCCTGCAGATGTTCCAGAATTGTGGGTTTGTGGCTCATGGGGACATGGTTAGAGGGCATGGTGGGGATGGGTTGGGGTTGGACTTGGGAATCTTGGAGATCTCCTTGAACCTTAATGATTCTATGAATGGGCATGGTGTGATGGTTTGAGAGTTGGACTAGATGATCTTAGAGGTCTTTTCCTACCTTAATGATTTTATGACTCTATGGATGGATGGATGAATGGATGGATGTGACCTATGCAGAAAAATGCCATATGTTATTTAGTGAGTATGTACCCTGTGGAAAAAATGAAATTAAAATTAAAGCAATGTTTATTTCTAAAATCGTTGTTTTTCTCAGAGTACAACACCTTCTCTGCTTGAATACAGTAAGTTGTAATTGCACCCCTTGGGTGCTGTTGCCTAAAACACATATAAAGCTGTTTTCTTCTTATTATGAAAAACTACTTGAAATGAGAGGATACGAACACTTTCATACCAGGTGCAAAAAATAAGCCATCAGTCTACCTCCTCTATCATTTTAAAAAGTTAAGTGGTGCTGAGATAATTAAATATTGCCTATAATTGGATTGGTGTCCAAGATACTGTAGTACCACTCTTTTGCATTAAAAACAAAGGAGAAAATACAAAAATGATGGGTTTCATATATTCAGAAATCTCATATAGCACAAGTCACAACTCTGGTCTCAACTTAGCAGTACACAGTCGGTGTGCCCTGTGACACAGAAAAAAATATCCTTATGGAGTTTCCCAGAAAGTTGCTGGTACAAATAATGCTTAAGGGCTTCAGTGGAACTAGAAGTTCTCCCTAAGAAAGTTACTATCTCCTGACATAAGGGCAGACCAAACCTTATAATAAAATTAAGACTATGTTGTGCTTTCTAGCAAAAATGATTCTATAGTTTGTAGACTTCTCCTTGCTTAGTACTAAGATGAGAGAAGGCCAGGGATTCCCACCAGGTACAGCAAGAGGCCATGGCAAACCACTGGGCAAACAGGAAGCCTCAGGAGACAAAAAGAGAAGCACCAACTGGTTGTAGCACAGGGCTTTAGGAGACAAGTGGGGAAAAGGTGCAGGGAATGCATCAATAAGACCAAAGTAATCATTCTATGGGTCTGGATTTCAAAAAGCCACATTGCTGCTTAGACTGTCCACAACCAGAAATATGTTTGGTGTGAGGAGGGTGCTTGAAGGTATAGACAGCAATCATCATCCTCAGTCCCGCCCTTGTGAAATTACAGACATTTCTAATAGAACAGGGTGACAGTATTCTTTATACGCTTGTCATAATAAATTCAGATTTACTGTGGAAAAATGTACAGTAGCTTTTCCCTATGTACAAGATCCCCATGGGTTTCAAGACAATGGCATCAGATTCCACAGCAGTGATCTTTTAATTTCAAGACAGCGTTAATTTATTTAAACATCTTGCAATGATCTTCCTTCCCATCCTTCTGGCTCAAGAAGAATAGCACACAACCGAAGTTTGCAGTTAAATATATTTGTTGGCATGACATTTGTTCATGATTTTTCCACTATCCTTCACATTGAAGACAGCTTTCTGTTACACTCCCTGTGCTGCCTGGCTGTGCTCCCTAATGCTCAGTTTTCTGGTGTTCAGAATACTGCCTCACCTGGCACCATGAGAAGGGCAGAGCTGTGGGGTCACAGGGCTGTGGAGGGGAGAGCCTTCTGATATATGGAGAAATGTTAAGTGACAATATGATTTTGTATTCTTTGAATCCCAGTTCTTAAAAGCAGCCTGAGCAAAATATCTACTGTTAGCTGCCCTATAAAGAAGAATGGGAAATTAGCAGCTGAAACAAATGAAAGGAACAATAGTCAAAAAGCTAATTACTCTTATTTCCATATAATTCAAAAAGATAAAATTGCCTGAGCAAATATGAGAGAAGTAATTAACTTCATGAATAACCTAAGGCTTACATGTTTCTTTACTTGAGACAGACTTGTGTAGGAAGTTGAAGCACTGAGCTCATGGATGTGTTCTTCTCCACGCTCTTAAAGGTGGGTGCAGCTCTCCAGCCCGAGTAGGGATGGATCTCATCCAGAGAAGCATCCTTCCCTGCTGTCCCAAACCCTCCTGGAAGGGTGCCTTGGTGCACAGTGTCTGACCATGGAGAAGCCGTGCAGGGGGCATGGAGTGTCTGAGTGCAGAGGGTTTGTGATGCTCAGCACTGATCCTGCAGCCTGAACTGCCATGTCTCTGGGCAGTGGCCTGCCTTGGCAACAGGCTTCAACAACAGGGAGCTCTGCTGCATCTGGAGAGAGCAGGTAAACATGTTATGGGTAGTGCTGCACAGTATGGCTTCACATTTAACAGCTCAAAAGCTAGGGCAGGTGAGGTAATCATTGTTCAGACAAAAATATGCAACAAAAGGTATTTCTTAAAAAAATTAAATCAATCTAAAATGGCCGGGATAGAAAAAATAGTGACATCTGAATGAAAGAAAGTAGTCTCACTATTATCACAATATCATTGGCCCATAGGATAACTTGGACTGGAAGAAACACTGTGGACTGAGTACAGGAAAGAAAGCTGTGTAGCAATGGAAGACCACTCTTAGAAGGAACATCCTCTGGTGCCAAGGGACACCACTTCAGCAATTTTGGATTTGGATTGCCAGGACCGGCAGATTGCACCTCAACCATCCTGGTAATATCTTGGTAATCTCATGTCGTACACACCCATCTAATTTCCTAAAGAGTTCATTTATAGCTTCGGTAATGATAAATTATGCAAATAAATTATGCAGAATGTGGGAAAAATACTTCCTTTTATTGGCTTTAAGCACAGAGTCTAAGCTGTGCCCCAGCTCCTGTGCAACAATGGAAAAAATGGAAGCAATGGAAACACACATAGTAATTCCCTATCACCCTCTTTCCACCTTATGCAGTTTTCAGAGATATCCATCAAAGCAGCTCTCAAGCTTGTCTTTCCCGATGAACTTTTCTTGAGATGCATTTCATATGTTCATCTGTCTCTTATCCCCTTCCCATGTGTTTCTCCCACAAACACCAGCCTGAGAACTGTTTACAAAATAGTCCACAGATCTCCTGGCAGACTCCAAAGCAAAACACAGCTCCCAGCCAAAGTCTGTGTTTTGGAAACTGTTTCTTTGGTAAGTAGAACTTCATTTTTATTTGATTATCTCCATTTGCTAAATGTGGTTAGCTAGCAATTTACAACAGCTATATTTCATCAGCTGCAAACAGAGGGATTCTAATGCCGCATTTGAAAATAGGAGCAGTAGAAAGATGTCAGGAACAGCCTTCACTGTCATCTTTTGAGTTTTATATTTTACGTTTTCAGAGGGCTCCCTGCATCCCTCATTAAGGCAACTGCTCTGTGGTGGTCATCCCCACTTTGGGAATGGTTCTCCTGGTCATTCAGCTCAGAGCCATGAGTTGTCCTTATGAAACAAACTCCTGCTTCTCAACCTCCAAACAAAGACACGATTCTACGTATAGCTGGGATGGGACAATGTCTTTTATTTTCTATAGAGTGGCCAGTAATGGTGATCAAGATTAAGAGGGAAAGCATAGAATCATAGAATGGCCTGGGTTGAAAAGGACCTCACAGATCATCTAGTTTCAACCCCCCTGTCACGGATAGGGTAGCCAGTTTCTAGACCAGGCTGCCCAGAGCCACATCCAGCCTGGGTTTATCCATTATTTACTTGGTGAAAGTTGGTTTTAGTCTAGGCTTTGGAAGATCTAGGAGGGCTTCCTTGTGTCTGTTGTATTTGATGACTAATTACCTATCTTTGCAGTTTTGAACTTCAGCAGAAATCCATGTATGAGTATTATGTGGATGGATGGAACTGATGGGGAGCTGCCTCAGATGCAGCCTCTGAATTCTCAGTTGTTTTTTTTATTTAAAAAAAAAAGTCATGCTTTGTCTAATCTTTTTTTCTTAGGAATTTAGTAAAGCAAATCAGTGTTGGTTTTTTCTCTCCCAAGCCTTTAGCTCTCCATCAGCTCTGCCACTAGCACACACCACATGAACAGACCGTTCTTTTTCTATGTTCACACCCAGTAAAAGGAGCAGCCTGGAGATATTTATTAAAGCTGATGGGCCCTTCATCCAGCCACAGTGTTACTATTCTGAAGATTGTTCACTCTCCTTGCTTTAAGTATCCAGAATGCTTGCTATAGTGTTATGCAGTACTGTACTGCAGTGCTAGACCTTTTATCTGCCCGGACTTCTTTGCTAATAGCCAGGATTGTGTAAAATTAAAAGGAGAAAAACATAAAGCATGTTTTGCTGGTGCAGATAACATAGAGGCGATAATAACAGCATTCACCTACAACTTTATTCAACGCAATCTCTTACAGAGCGTGCTGAAAATATGCAGTCAATCTGTGCATGGCTTGGGTGAGTGCTCTGGACAATATTTCTGACTTGATTCTCAGCTGATTTAAGTTGGCATTAGTGAGCAGCCTACACTTTTAAAGAGTTTCAGCTACGTGCACTGAACTCGTGTTTATCTCAAATTTAAACAAAGTATAAAGATAGCCAAAGATCACAACTCTTCTAACCAAGAGTCCATTTAGACCTGCCTGAGTGACAGAAATGTTAAACCTGCTTGTAACAGTTATGCAGCAGATTGTCTTCACGGGGCAAACTGAATTTCTGGCCCAAGCAATTTTCCAGCATACCTAAAGTTGGTTGATGGGTTATTTTTTTTTTCATGGTACAGTAAAGTTCCAAGGTTCCCAGGGCAAGAATCATAGAATGGCTTGGATTGGAAGAGACCCCAGGAGTATTTTTTCTGTATCTATTCCATGGAACTCATATGGAAAAAAAAAAAAAAAAAGCCAGAAAAAAAAGAAGCAGAATTTGATTTAAAACAATGTACTTTGTGAAAGAGTAAATTACAAACGTAGCAGATAAAGAAATTTTTAAAATGAGGTTTCTGTATTCCAGATGATGCTACCTCATTTCAGAATTTATCAGTACAGGTACAATTCCTAGATGTCATCAGCAAGACGTACTGTTACTCCTTGGTACAATTCTGCATTATAATGAACACTAATAGAATACACCACGTGTATTCTTGAAATAAAAGCCTTTATGGTGTCTTTTTTTTTCCTGTGTTTTAGAAAATTAGGTCTTCAATTAAATACTGTTTTAGAACCCTACAGATAGCCTACAGATATTTATTATTTAAAAATTTAATGGTTTTTTTTTTCAAAATTTTTGTTTCAGGGATAAACCAAATCTCTATACTTCAGCTTGTAGTACAACCTCATCTCTGATACTAATTTTATTAATCATTAATGAGATGTAAATAGTGTACATTTCTTACATACACTATTTAACTGCAGTTTACATTATCCAAAATTGCATGTACTTCTTGTTTGAGATATACAAGCCTTGTCATTTCCCCTTTGTTTAGTTTTGGTTGGCAAGAAGCTATTACAGATATTGATGCTTTGCCCCATGCTTTACCCCAGTGCTGTTCATGAGGGCGTTTTCCTCTCCAAATCACACTCATACATTTTTCATGCACAGCTGATGGTGGACCTCTACCTCTGGAGAAATCCAAAAAGCTCCTTCATCGGCCAACTTGGTGCACATACTTTATAGGACTTGCAGGAGATGTGAGCATAATTGAACAGGAAACATTAAGTTTAGGATTCAGATTTCAGTTAAGACCTTGAAAAGAATTTAAGGAAACTAAAGTACTTCATCAAAGTGCTTGAAGGTCTTGTTTCCTAAAGCACAAGGAAAAGACCCCAATATTTTATTAAATAAGATGTTAACCACAAAGGTTGACATCATCCAGCATGAGCTTTTGAAGAAGGGAGAGCCCAACTTAAAGGGTGCAGTGGCTTTGTGCTGCATGTCCCCATGGAGGGGCTGAGCAGCTTCCTGAAAATGTGTTGAAGGTTTCAGTGCCAGCAGTGGTACTGCAGGACTGGGGGACACAAGGGAAGACACATCCACACTCCTTCCTGCATGGAGCTGTGGCATATCCACTGTGAAGGACATGAAAGATTTCTAGTTCTTTTTCATTTCTCTTCTGCCATTTTTCATAGTATTATCTCTGTGTTTGGAAGTTCTCCAAGGCAGAAACTGCTAATTCTCAATTTCTGTGGCACATTAGTGGATTTGCAGTTTTGGCAGTTTGTAAGAATCAATCTTCAAACAGCAGCTTAGACCTGTAGACTTTAAAAAAATATTATGTATTTATATGAAGTGTGTTATATATCAAATATAAAGCTATATGGATTGGTTTTGTAGGGTTCCACTGAGGTCCCTTGCTGTGGTCCCTAGTCAATCTGGGTTTCAGCTTGGGTTTCAGCATGTCCTATCCTCCGCCATAGTTCTGCTTCACTGTGTCTTATTGGGACCCTTTTAAACTTTGCTTGTTAAAGGAAGCCCTGGCAAATCATTTTCTGGCCTTTTGCTAGACGTAGGCAACTCTGAATAATCTATCTAAACAAAGGGAACATCTTGTCCCTGATTCATATCAGTCAGTGCAGCAAATATGCAATTTTTCTACTTAGACACTATGCTGCTAGAGGATTACAAAAGATTTAAGAAGCTACAGGTTTATTTGACTTATCTTCCACTATGCAGAGGGTGTCTCCTGGCTTTCTATTCCTCTGAATTCTTCGCCCTCGCAGCCCCTCTCAGCAGTCCCCTGACTCCCCAGCTGTACAGTGTGTGGTGTATGATGTCCTTTCATTTTGCTGCTTGTTCACTCTTCCATCTATGGTTTCCTCTTGAGATTGCCCTCGTAGATCTTGCTTTTGATCTTCCCACCCTATGTGGGAGCTTGCTGCAGAAGAATATAATGTCTCAATGTCTGCTCTGCCTTGGAGTCAGACCGATGGCGTTGTCAATATGTCAGTGGCAAATCAGTTCCAAGACTGAATTTTTCCTCCTCCCATTTATGTCCTTAGAATTACAACAATGCTCTGTTTTTCTTCACACAGCACATGATTTTATTGACATTATGTGAATCATAGAATCACAGAATTGATTGGGTTGGAAGGGACCTTTAAAGGTCATTGAGTGCAACCCCTCTGCAATGAACAGGGACATCTACAGCTAGACCAGGTTGCTCAGAGCCTGGTCTAAGCTGACCTTGAACATCTTCAGGGATATGACACCTCTCTGGGCAACCTGTTCCAGTGCTTCATTACCCTTACCACAAAAAACTTCCTTACATACAGTCTAAATCTTCTCTCTTTTAGTTTGAAACCATTTTCCCTTTTCCTATCACAACAGACCGTGCTAAGGAGTCTGTCCCCTTCTTTCTTACAGCTCTCCTTTAGAAACTGAAAGGCCTCCATCTGGTCTCCCCGGAGACCAGATGTTCAGTCTTCTCTTCTCCAGGCTGAACAGCGCCAGCTCTCTCAGCCTGTCCTTGTAGGAGAGGTGTTCCGTCCCTTGAATCACTTCTGTGGCCCTCTTCTGGATGTGCTCCAACAGATCTGTGTCTCTCCTCTACTGAACACTCTACATCTAGATGCAGTGCAGAGTAGAAGGGCAGGATCACGTCTGTCCATGCTGGCCACATTTCTTTTGATGCATTCCAGGGTATATGGTTGACTGTGAGGGCACATTACTGGCTCAGTCCAGCTTGCCATCCACCTCTACCCCCAGGTCCTTTTTGGCAGGGCTGTGCTCCATTCTTACATTCTCCAGCTTGTATTGATAGGCAGGGTTGCTATGACCCTGGTGCAAGAGGTTGCACTTGCTTTTGTTGAACATCGTGATGTTCTCCTGGGCCCAGTGCTTGAGCTTATCTAGGTCTCTCTGTATGGCATCCCATCCCTCAGGCAGGTAGATAACACCACACCACTTGGTGTTGTCTGCAAACTTGCTGAGAGTGCACTCAATCCACTGTTTATTACTTTGATGAAGATATTGAAGAGCATCGGTCCCAGTAATGATGAGTCCTCCTTGTACTTTTTCACACTAAAAAGGTGTTCCAACCTTTAGGCTGCACTCTTGCCTTTGTCCTACACCTGTACCATTTTTACCATGATTTTTGAAATGATGGGGCCTGAACTGTTCACACTGAAGCAGGAGGGATGCACCATCTTCACAGTGCCACCATTTAGTTTCTGTTTTGATTTCAAGCCTTTCCTAGTAACTTTTTGAGCACTGGTAACAATGAACTGAGAGCTTTCCACATAGAATTATCAGCAGTGACTCCTAGTTCTCTTTTCTGAGTGGTAATAGCCAATTTGAAATCTATTAAATTATATATATGCAGTTAAGGTTGTTTCTCTCCATGTTCACTGCTTTACATTTATTGACATTGAATTTTGTCTGCTATTTTACTGCCTGCACATTCAGGGCAGGTCCATCAGGCTAAATGTAGATGAATGGCCTCAGCCATTCATTCACATTTCACTGTGAAAATGGAGAGAAAGAGACATTTCTAGAGTTGTTGATTCCTTAAATTCTAATGTAACTGTCTCTTCAGGTAAGAGGAATCAAGCCTCCGAAATGCCTGTTTCCACTAATTACTAATGAGCTTCAGGTGTCTCAGTATTTCTAACAACTATGTTGAAGATGTCCATGGTTAGGTGTGATTAATTCTGTGCGTTAGATTGAAAGCTGTTTCTATGACAATCTGCAGTCAGCTGCAGTCTATATTGTCCTGAACTATTTGACAATTATCAGTAACCTTTGCTACACTGTTTGTAGATGATGGTGGGACTCCCTTGGAAATCACTCTTTTTGGAGAGAAATATATATATATATATATATATATATTTATTCTTACTCTTTCTTCTTGACTCTCTATGAGATCTTTATTTATCTACTCTCTTGATCTTGTCAAAACCTTTTTGCAAACACAGGCATCCAGTAGCACTAACACCACAACTTGTGATCACACTGACTCTTTCAAAGGAGCTCAGTAGACTTATGAAGCAAGATTTTCTCTCCACAGAAGCCACTGTATTTTCTTCCATTTGTATCACGTTTATCCTGTGTTTAATGATATGCTTCATCATAAATTTCCCAGGTTAGTGTTCCCAAATCATCATGGATCTGTTAATCTCTGAACCTCTCCTAATTTTCCTCTCCAAGTTGGAATCACCTTTGCCACCTTTTATTCCCTGAATACCTGTTAAGTGGTAGGTTGTGCACTGCAGTTAGCGGGTCTTTTACAGCCCTGGGGAAATGCAATACAGTCCTGCTGATTAATTACTGCTTATTTTATTGATCCATCCTAAATCTTTCTCTACTAAATTTGAGTTACTCCCATTTTCTTCTCACCAGGAAAGCCCATGCGATGGGAATCTCCCTGAAACGCTCTTCAGTATTTAGAGTCCATTTAGCTTCTCCCTTTCTGAAAGCCCCTTGGGCCATATCAATTATCTATCAGGCTGTTGGCTTCCAGTGTGTTTGGGAAAGGTTTGAGGATTTTTTTTATTTCTTTCAGTAGTCTCTCAGTTTTGTGACCTACCTCCTCATGATTTCACTGTTTCTTCACTAAAACGTACTCTTTACAGACCTCCTGGGGCATGCACATGCCCAACCTTTTGACTTACCTGGGCTGCACCGAGGAAAGAAAAATTGTCATGGGCATATGTATGTAGGTTGTTCTGAAAGTAATGCCTCCTATTCATTTCTGTGCAAACTACAATAGATACAAAAAGCACAGTAACACTACTTGACAGAGCCAGTTCTCAGTTACAAAACACTATTCTTCAACATAGTCACCACCATTAGCTCTGCATTTTTATTATTGATGGATAATCTCCTTCATGCCATGCTTGTAAGAATCTGCACCGGTGGAGGTGGCCTAATGTTGCTGTCACCGCTGCTGATATGCACCACTCGCTGCCTCACTGTGCTCACGTCCACTGGTTGGTCTCCAGAAACATTCACAAGTGTTGATGAACGTTAATGTGTGCAATTTTTTTTCCACGTGGAAGGATTCAGTGACACATCTTTGCTTCATATGCACGTCAGGCACCATTCAGTCAGATTGCCCCTATGCTGCCATCTGTCACACGGCAACAAAATATAATGGAATACCAGTGGGAAGGTTCAGCCTCTACTGTCAGACCACCAACATCCTCCTCTGACATTGTGGGCCAGCATAATAAAACAGCACAAATAAAATAAAGGAAGTACTACTTTTGCAGCAGCCCTCATAAATCTACTAGTATAGTTAATGTATATATAAGTAACAAAACATTTTATTTTTAAACATTTTTTATTAAAACATAAAAAGGAGAGCAGCAAAACGGTAAAACTAGAGGGATGTTGGATGTTGTTTGTGTGAAACTAACTCATCAGGTTGGCAGTGGTTCGATGGCAGTGGTTGCCATCCTCATTGAGTTCTCAAGGTGTTTGTCAGAGATTTTTGATGAAATTTTATTCTTCCTGTGATTCATCTTTGAAAACAGTTGTTCACAAATGTGATTAATAATCACTGCCAACAGTGATGACATGAATAAGGAGTGACTGTGAAGTGAGGGATATTTCTCTCTGATAAAAGAGGGCTTTTGAAAGTCCAGTAGAGAGACATGATAAAGTTTTTCAGTTGAATATATGATTGTAACTCTGGGCATTTGAAAATTTGCAGGTCATGTATTTATGTCAACTAGAAAGAGTCACAAATAAACCAAAAAATTTGAGATTTTTTTTTTTGCAATCTTGAAACTAGTTCTCAAATTCCTGTATCAAAATGGAAAGCAGGGCTGCATATTTTTTGCTGTTCACAGGACTGTGTTTAGTGAATGTATCAAAATCCACAAACTAAATTGCCATAACTTGAGCTGGCACTGCACTGTGCTCACTTCGTGCCCCAGTTTCAGCCCAGGTGGGGTTAATAACACACTGATGTTCGGTCACTGCTGAGTGATGGGTGTGCGTGGGGCAGAGGGCGGCCGCACTGTGAGATGTGCTGGGCTGCATGCAGCCCACAGGCTGCAGGTTGGACATGCCTGTTCAGTGATTTGTTCTGTGTGTTGTTTATATCAATCACTTCTCTTTCTTTCTTTGTGTCATAAAAGTAGAACAACATACTGTTCACAGTGGATTAGAGGAAGTGAACCAATGGCCTAAGTTCAGCATAGAGAGAGTAATTTCCATGAGTCTGAAATGGCTGAGTATAGGCAGTTCAGGCAGCCTTCCTTCCTTTCTATGCCATTTTTAGACTGTTTTCTGCTCCACAAAAGAAAAAAAAAAGGAAAAAAGAAGAAGTAAGAAACACCTTTCGTTTTTAAATTAATTGAGTTAATTCTGTTCTCTCAAGAGAGGAACTTCCTCGGAGGAAGGTCAATAGCATAATTAGCAAAACATAATTAAGAAAGTGCTGCTGAAGAATCAAGTTAGTGGCCACATGCTTCCCCTGCTAGAGGGATGAGAGCTACAGCTGAGGTGGGAGCATCACTGATCCTGTATGCTGAGCCTGCTTCTAGTGAGCACAGTGCTGGGGAGTAGCAGGCAGTGTTTGTCCATTGATTTGGCTTGTGGAAAAGTCAGAACTTGGCCAAAAAAGATCTTTAGGCCATATATCTCCGGCATTTGAAATTCAATGTGTACTATATTTGGGTTTTAAGCATTAGATCTTTTGCAGCTTTGTGTGACAAGTGTGCATAAAAGGCGCAGAGTCATAAAATCATCGAATATCCCAGGTTGGAAGGGACCCATAAGGGTCATTGAGTCCAGCTGCACAAGACCACTCAAAAAACTGACCATACATCTGAAAGTGTTGTCCACAAGCTCCTTGAACTCCGGCAGCTTGGGGCTGTGACCTCTGCCCTGGGCAGACTGTTCCATGCCCATCACCTTCTGGTGAAGGATCTTTTCCTAACCCTCAACCTGACTCTTCCCTGATGCAGCTCCATGCCATCCCTTGGGCCCAGGATCTGCTGTCACCAGAGAGAGGAGATTAGCACTGCCCCTTTGCTCCCCTTGTGAGGAGCTGCAGCCACCATCAGGCGTCCCCTCAGCCTTCTCTGCTCTGGCCTGAACCAACAAAGGGACCTCAGCTGCTCCTCATACGTCTCACCCTCAAGGCCCTTCACCATCTGTGTAGCATACATTATGCTCCTTGTTTCAAAAATCCGTTTTTCATTACACATTCATTTGTAATACTCCATGTTTTCAATTTGTACTTTGATATTTATTTGCAGCTATGAGCTTGTCTGAAGTCTGAAACAGCATAAAGCCTACTAATTCAGTGCATACTCTCCGTTTATTTTATCTTAACAAACCCTCTAATCTCTGCAAGGGTTTTATAGAGGGAATCACAACTAATTTGGAATAATAGCCATATTTGAAAGTTTGGAGCTCTGTGTGTGACAGCTCATAAATACAAAAATCAACAGTTATCTAATCAATTAGTGGTGAATTATTGTTGTTTTTTCTCCGTTAAGTACCACAGGAACAGAAGAATTGCCATATTTTAACAGACCACCAGACAGACAGGCCCATTACCGTTTCTTGCACAGTGGCCAGTACCACATTTCAAAGAAAGGTTCAACAAAATGATGTAGTAACCCACCCACAGGAATAGCTCTTCTAAACTTCCAGCAACCGATACCTGATTTATGCCTTCAGTGGGGGCAATGAAAACCCCAAACGGCTTCATACATCTCTTCCCACATTGACTTTTGAGTATTTGACAGCCTGCAGACCAGCTTTGGGATGAACTCGCATCTTGTGGTTTTGGTTTTGATTTGATTTTTTAAAGAAAAGTCAGTGGCATTTCAGGTATTTACTTGGTTGCTTCAGGAGAAGGACACCTGTATTTATCTCTGTAACAGATACTGGAAGGGTATTTTGCTCACACGAGAGGAAAAATGGATTTCACCTGAAGGAAAAAGAGATTTTCCTCACATTGTTCTATATGGACAATTTAACCACAGTACTGACAGAGGAAATTAAGTCACGTCCATCTCATCTCCTCATTTTGGCTTCTCAAACTCCAGTCCTTATTCAATGAGCCCAGAGCACAACAGGGTTTAATGATACAGCTACATTCTCACTTTTAGTAAATGGGTTAAGACTAACAGCTGATTTTACATGTAGGAATGACATCTGCCAATTGCTAAGCACAGTTATCTTTCAGTCACTACTATGCAGAATTATCTTCATTAACAAGTAAAAATCTTATGGGATATTTAATTGCCCATGAATTTTTTTCCTCCTATGATTCAATTTTTACTTGAGTATTTAATACTGGTAGGACTGTAAACTCTATTAATTTGGTCATAAAGAGCATATCTTGAGGTGTTTGAATGCTCTCAGTGAGGTTTTCCTGGTGTTCATTTACACTATTCCAGATTTTATCAGGTGGACCGTGATTTTTTTCTATACATTTTTTTAGTATGAATTGAATTCATTTGGCAACGCTACTTAGGCATGGATGGCTGATGGACCATTTCAAGTCATTGATTACAGAGGAGGTTGATCAGAGAAATGTTCTCATTGACCTGAATCTGATTCTCCTCTTCATTACTAAAAGCTAAATCATTTTCACTATGAAGGTAAGGAATGAGTTACCTTATTATCATATTTATATATTTAATGTGTATGTTTGTAGTTTCTATGAGAGCTATATAAAATAAAGAATATATTGTGCAAAAACATTTCATATAGCCCTGGGAACAAAAAACACACTACATACATAGAAACTTGCTTGTTTCCAGTGCGTAAATGCACGAGAACAACTCTCAGAAGTTTCTTTTGATAGTTGGTGACGTTGATGGCTCTTCTTTTCTACAGTTTTTCTGTTCTCTGCGTTCTTGTGTGGGTTTTCTTTTTTCATTTTTATTTTTTCTTAATTTAGTATCCTGTCCATTTAATAATTCAATATTTTATGTTGATAATTCATTTTTATTTAACTGATTCCTTGCTTAAAATACCTGATTTTCCATTCCCTTCGGTAGAGATCTTCATATTATTTTGTCTACTCAGTTTTCCACAAAACCTCAGTAGACTCATGAATGGTACACTATTACTGCTTAACAACATATTTACATTTTTTAAATGTAAATGATCTTCTCACTGTGAGCTTTATTTCTCAGACTATCAGGTAAAAACCTACTTATTTATTTATTTTGGTAAACACATAATGCCAATATTTCATGGTACTATGTAGATAGCAGATCAACTTGTTTCTTGAGTCATTCAAAAATGACAGTTATTCACCTATTTTTTCAACTATTCATGAAAATGGACTTCACGCATGCCTCCATTTATGTGTGTGGGAGCAATCAAGTCTAAAGGAGCCCACGGTGTCCTTTATTTGCAGCCACTGGACTTTCCTGCTGTAGAGAGAGCTGAAAGCAGTACTAAGAATTTATCTGGAGAAACCAAGAGCACCACCCAGTTACAGGCAGTTGGCCACGTGGAGGCCTAGATTAAAATTACCTTGGCTGGAAGGTAATTTTCTTGCTTCCAAGAAGGTAATTTTCTTGCTTCCAATAGGAAGCAAGACTACCACAGCCCCAGATGTGTCCTTGTTGTTCCTAGAAAGGAAGGAGAGCAAGAAGGCATCTGCAGCCTCTTGGGGCTGGGAAGGGACTTTCATCTCCAGCCTTTTCATGTCTGTGAGGTAAGAGAACTCCTCTGGTGGCTTTCCGAGATCCCATCCAGAGGCACGCGAGTTCATATGTTCAACTGGGAGCCCAGGAACACAATCCAGGGTTGGGCATTTCAGCAGCTGCCAGGATCGTGGCTTCATCCCATGTGACAGTCAGCTTGTCTTGTTCTCCAGAGATCTCCCGGGACTTCAGAGGAGCATAGCAAGGTTATGCTCCTGGCTAAGGTTCCCAAAGTCAGTGGGATGTAGCTGGATAAAAGTGCTGAAAGTTCAAAACTGCAACATTCGCTACTGCAGCATCTAAAGCTTTTTGTGGACTGATCTGCTGGGGAAATTCTAGTTAGGTAAACGCAGTGGTGTTTTACAATTGACTCTAACAGCCCTGGAAGTCATTTAAAGAATTCTGTACAAAAGCTAATGCTGCTACTCTAGATATTAACTGGCTTTGGTCCGTTAATATTGAGAGATCAAAGCCACCCCTAAGTCTTGCTGTAATGAAAGATAGATTTTAACTGTTCCTTGAAAGCAGTGAATCTTTTCAGTTCTTTTTCTCCGAAAAGCTCTTTCTATTAGATGTATTTTGATAGAGAGATGTATTTCTATTAGATGTATTTCAAAAATAGGAAATGTCCCTATTTTTTAATTTTTTTTTATTTTTTTTACTAAACGCTCCTATCTATATGATAAAAAAACCTAGTAGGCTTGCAGATGCTGAAGAAAAGAGCCCTCAAGAGGACAGCATTTTGAAATGGAACAGGATTTAAAGTGAGAATTCATGAATATCTCTTTTGCTGGAGGTGACTGCAAATCTTGCAGAGATCTGAGGTGCACAGGTCAGCACAGCCCAGCTGGGAGCCAGCCATGACTGCACAGCCCTCTGCACTCTACCATGGTGGAGAAGGAGGGCAGCACTCAGAGAGGTGACTGCAAGCCTGGCCCAGCTCCGAGTAGAGGAAGATGAGGGTACTCCAGTACAGGTGGTGCAGGTAAAGGTGCAGTGGGCTGGGGCTTGAGAGCAAGCTGTCCGCAATGGTTCCTAAACTATGGTCCTGCTCCATGAAAATGGGCCACTCTCAGCTTTTTGGCTTGGTCCTTGATGAAGAAATTCAGGACTGGGGGAATCTCTCTGAGCTCAGCACTACCACATGTATCACTGTTTTGCCTTTTGCTGGTTAGTTCTTTATTAATGTTGACTCTGCAGTTGTCTTCTGAATACAAATCACTGCACTGTGTATCCCTAAGACAAAAAGCAATTACAGTCACTGCCAAGTTAAAAACATCTATCCTAAAGAAGGTCTTGCTGGTCCAGGGCATGAAGTGTAGCTGTGAGACAGACCAATGAGGAGTTATTCCAGTGCTCCCCTGTTATGTATCTTGGCTCAGGTCACTTTGTCTGACTGCTTTCTTTTCACTCTTTCTACACAGTATCCTTAAGCCAATGGATGACAAAAGTCCCAGGAGCTGAGAACTGTCAGCTGCCCTAGGTCCATAGTCCAGCACAGCAAGGACTACGGGATGGTAGGAAGTATGGCATCAAGATACTGGTCTAAATTTGTCTCCCTCACTGAAAGTCCCTAAGGCCCCAGAACATATAAAGAGATAATTGACTGTTCTGCTTAGCAGAACTTTGGTTGCATTGTAATTGCGTTCCTTTCTGCCACTGGACAAAGCAGAGTCTTGCCACACAAACATGGAAATACTTCTGTGTAAAGATGGAGGGAATACAGCTGCTTGATACAGAAAGCAGACGAAAAAGTAAATGTATGAAGAGAGTTTATATGGAGTGGAGGAGGCACAAAATAATGATTGTCATAGAAAATCAAGGTCTCCTATTTGTTCCTCTGCATAATGCCAAAACAAGACAATTTTAAATGGAAGATAGAAGCAGCACATCCTGAGTAGTGCCTTATTAATTTACAGTGATAACTGAGGCATCAAAATGAAGGATTTAGTAAAAATAAAAGTAAAGAAATATCGTTGTATGGAAAATAAGAAAACCCTAAACCTTGTTGACAGCACCACGTGACAAAAAAAATGACCACAATTAACTGCTAGTGGGTTTCTTGCTTCTTCATTTTAGCAACTATCTGAACAAGAGCTTAAGATGGCCAGATCAATTCTCTATTCAGGTGTCATAGTTCTGTATAGATGGCTTTAGGCATTAATTTCCTAAAATGCTCCACGTTTACAGCACAATGACACTGTTTGATAGAGCAAAGCACTATTCTTCGACATAGTCACCACTGTTAGATGTGCATTTTTGCCAGCAATGAACAAGTGCCTGCATGCCGCCCTTGTACAAAATCTGCACCAGCAGAGGTGCCCCACTATGCACCACTGCTGAAACGCCCCATCCGCTGCCTCACTGTGTGCACATCCACTGGGTGGTCTCCATCAAAATCCATCCAGTGTTGATAAATGTTTCAAACAGCCTTTCCTGCTGTACCACCAACATCCTCCTCTGACGTCATGGGCCAACATAATAAAATAGGAGGCGTTACTTCTGTAGCAACTGTAGTACTTCTGTAGTACTTCTGTACTTCTATTATGTTTCAGAAGACTTCAGTTGCATGTGCTACTGTTGTCAATAACATGTTTTTTTCTGTAGCCTGAGCAACAGCAAGGAAACTGAATTTGGCTAGAAACCAAACTGAAGAGGAGTACATTCATTCCTGGGGTGACTCCACTGACCTCACTAGAGCTCAGAGAGTTCAGGCCAGCCTTGACCTGTTTTTCTGCAAATTGTGTGGCTGGGGAAATGCTGTTCCATCCATCTTTGTTCAAAGTAATAACAAGAGAACTCAGAAAGGTTCAGGGAAGGGTGACAAACATGACTAGAGCAGAAGAAAGCTCTCCTATCAAGGGAGATTGATAAGGCTGAAGATGTTTCTCTTAGAAATGAGACAAATAAAAAAGGAGACATTAAAAAAAAAGGAAACAAAATAATAAATAGTCTAGGAGGACTCATCCACACACCCTTTGTGATCTGCTAAAGGGCCTCTAGTGGTCCATGGCAGTGCAATCAAATTAAGGCCCTGCTACCTGTCTCCTCTCTCCTCTCTGGCTGGCTGCACTGCTGGGCTCTCTGCTTGAGTCTCTTTTAACTGTTGACTGAAGACTGAAAACTGACAAAGACTGAAAACCAGTACAGTACTATAGGGAAGGTGAGGCAGCCACTGTTCACATTTCCCACTCATGAAAGGGGTACTCATAGAAAGTGAAGACTCACTTATTCCAAGCTAGCAGAAAGGGAGATGCTTTTCTGCATTATATCCAAATGCTAATGAGGCCAGACAACAAATGACATTTGAAGAGATTGTGCTTAGCAGCAAGACTTTCACTGGGTTATAAGAGCTGCTAAGGGTTTGCTAGCACATTTACAGCAGCTTACAGCAACAGAGACTTAATGTGACACACTAATTATGCCACTCCTGCTTAATGCAGGGGATCTCATGGTACCTAATGGGCGAGGATGGGCAGATGGGAAGGAGCACGGCCACATCTCTGTCTGTGCTAGCACTGGTGCCATGTTGCCACCTTGATCTCTACCCAGTAATTTCTTTTTCAATAGAGCAATAGTTCTTACCTTGAATTCAAAACCAGCAATGCTCTGTCTAGAAGAGAAACTTGTGCAAATAATTTCATTTCAGAGAGTGGACTATGTTTTTAAAAGGGGTCTTCCTGTTGCTCTTCTGAACCCCACCCTTAGTTACATCTCTGCACAAGCCATTCCTACAGCTAGGAAGACCACTTGCATTTTATTTTTGTTTTTATTATTTAGGGATTAATGTAACACCGAAGTCTTCAAACTTGAAAGACAAAGATGAGCAGGCTAAAATACATTATATTTTGGGCTGTTCTAGCAGTTTGTTGCTTCCACTGAATGAAGAAGCACTTTGCACCATGCCATTCCTACTGCTGGTATTTGCCTTGGGCTCTACTGAGCTGATGTGGTCACACTGCAGTCAGAAACATGACAAAAAAACAAGAACAGTCAGCTGCTTGGATGGTGAACTGAGCCAACTGACTGTCACTGCAGCAAGAGACAATTGGGTTCCACTTTTAGATACAAGACACTCAGCTGAGGTTCTTTTTCTTTCTTCCTCCTCCTACCCTCCTTCCCCCCCCTCCACTCTTTGATGTAATTAAAAATATCATTCATATATTTCAACAATGGCTTTGCTAAGCAGGCAGGTGATAAAGACAATGTGAGATGCAGCTTTCCCAACTGAAACAAGTCCCATTTCTCTTTTTTGAATATGTATTAGTCCCAAAGGAGTATCAGCAGCCTGGAGCAGGTTGGCTGTACCAGCTGGCTGGGGCACTGGCTACAGTTCCTTTGCCAGTGTTTTAGTATTATGCAGGCCACTTCTATTTGGCTAGGAGATTTGATCATAGCTTCACTGATATAGAAGGAAGACAACGGCGCAAGCAGAGAGAGCAAATTGGCATCCTTGGGAAAGGCCAGGATTGGGTATCGTGCCTCAGTCACAACAGGAAGCCAGCTGCACAAGCAGAACCCTCAGCACGCAACACCTGAACCGAGCACCATGTGTTCCTACCCAGTGGTCAGCATGAGGAACACCATCTTGCGGGCAATGAAAGTGAGTCAGAGCAAACACATTTAATCACGCATTTACTGAAGGTTGGCAATGCACAGGCACTATGTGTTACTGCAGGTCAGTTGGTGTTTGGTCACTCTGTGCATGATAGTGAGATATTGTAGCCCCTGCTGGTGGGGACTGAGCCCCGCAGATGAGCGTGTGTGCTGGACGAAGGGGAGTCTTATCTGTGGGGCTTTTCCTTTTTTTTTCTTCTTTTAAAAGCCTTTGAATATTAGAAGTTGGGGGTTGGACTCGATGATCTCTGGAGGTCCCTTCCAATCCCTACAATTCTGTGATTCTGTGTGATTCTGTGAAAACCTACCCATTAAGTTTGTTCTTGTCTTTGTATGAAGGGATTTGCCTTGATAATTCTTGATAACAGCTGCTAATGGGAATTTTATTCTTAAATCTCCTGTGTTTTGAAGTACCATTTAGTTTTCAAAGCAAACTTAAACTTGTAAGCAATCAAGGAAGAAAAACTACCAGAGTAGCCTCCGCACTGCCTGGCTGATGCAGTATTACTTTCTTCTGATGAGCTCTGTAAACTTATTTTTAGCTTACGTGTGTAGCATGGAAACCCAGACACAGAGCTTTCAGTGCTTATCACTTCAAACAAGAAATCAACAACCTCCCCCCAGAAAGAACAGGCTGGAGGTGTGCGAGGCACACCTTTCCCTCCTCCTGCAGAGCCTTCACTTTTCATATCAAAGGGTCTTGGCTGCAGCGATTCCCTGCCTGCTTCCCTGGCCTCAGAGATACGAGGCCCCCGCAGAAACTGGGACACCCCAAGTTCAAAGGGAAGCAGCTGGATGGGACGCGCTCTGCAAACACGGCTCCTCTCACTGGGTTTTAAATTCCCCTTACCATACTTTTTGCTATCTTTTTGTTCTATTTTTTCTTCTCATGTTTCTCACCCAGTTAATGTCATTTTACTTGTACAGCTGTTGGAGGAGATCTGGAGAGAGAAACCAGCTGCAAAATAGATGCTGGAGTGGTTTTATGGGATGGCCTTCTGCTCCTCATCTTCTCAGAGGTCTGCAGGTACAAACCCACTCATGTGAGTTCATCTGAGGAACATAGGCAGTCACATACATTCCAGTTTATGGGAGGTTGAGAGCATTTTGGGATGCTTACATGAAAACTGACTATTGTACGTGGACAAAACAGTGAAATAGCAGACACAGTAAAGATGTGTCCAGATCTGGAGTCCTCAGTGCAGGAGAGACATAGAGCTGTTGAAGCACGTTCAGAGAAGGGCCACAAAATGATTCATGGAATGGAACACCTCCCATACAAGGCTAAGCATAGAGAGCTGGGGCTGTTCAGCCTGGAGAAGAGAAGGCTGCGAGGTGACCTGAGAGCAGCCTTTCAGTATCTAAAGGGGAGCTATAGGAAAAAAGGGGACAGACTCTTTAACAGGATCTGTTGTGACAGAATAAGGGGAAATGGTTTCAAGCTCAGTGAGGGTAGATTTAGATTGGATATAAGGAAAAAATGTTTTACAGTGAAGGTGGTGAGGCACTGGAACAGGTTGCCCAGTGATGTGGTTGATGCTCTGTCCCTGGAGACCTTCAAGGTGAGGCTGGATAGGGCCCTGGGCAACTTGATCTAGCTGTGCATATTGCTATTCATTGCAGGGGAGTTGGACTAAGTGGCCTTCAGAGGTCCCTTCCAACTTTAAGGATTCTATGATTCTAAAGTAATCACCTTTCTAACATATCTATCGATGTCTTCCATATTGTTCTTTTCCAGAATAAAAGTAATCTGCTTTTAGACTGTGAAAAATTGTCTCAAGTCAGCTTGAAGGAAGAAGACAGAAACCACCATCTTTCTATTTTAAGAGATTTTCACAACTGGAGACTCATAATCAGCACCTCAGCATATGGACGCAAAGGTTAAGCTACAAAGATACCCACACTGCTAACAGCAAGGAGGGTCAGCCAGGCTCCACACCTGCACTATCAGCCCACCTCTGGAAATGAGCCTGGCCCAAGTAAAATAAGGAAGACAAGTGTAACAGTATGCATTCATATTCCATTAATATCCATTGAAGTTTGCCTTTTCATGCTAATAGGCTTTTAATGATTTTGCATAGGAGAATGCCCTGTTTAAGGAAAGAGAAGACAACTAAAAAGTTAAAATATAGGGAAAATAATTTAATGTAACTGTGTAGCATGCCATTGAAATTTATAATGTAACTTGCACTGCCTCTGTTATGAAATGCTCTTATCCTTATTCTGTTCAGTACAGTTTAGCACTCAACTGAAAGATTGCTAATAACTGCTCCTCTTTAACATGCTCACTAACAGCACTATTTTGCAGCCCATTTTCAGCGCACACTTCAATTTAGAAATGGACTCTGCTGCTGACTGCCAGCTGATTTCCCTTCAACATACAGGCAGTGCTAAACTTCACTAAGGCTGTCTTCACATGGAGCTGTAGGGATGAAGAGACGTATATCTGTGTATCTTGACTTCATTACAGCAGCAGCTAGCATGAAACCAAAAATCAGATAAATAAATGAATATAGAAGAAAACTCTCCAGCTTCTGCCTTGTTCCTGTTTGCCCTGTCTTATGAAAGAACAATGAAACTCTATATTGCACCTTTATGGGGAGAGCAGAGGTATGGGACTTATAAGCTTCACATTACATGAGGAGGAAATGCTCTCCATCAAACAGGTAATCTGTATTGCGTTTAGCCAGCACAAGTGGGATACTGGGGGAAACAACCCGTTAAATTACCATTCACTAGCCCAAGAGAGACGTACCCAGATCACAAAAGTGTGAGGGCACGAGTTTAACTTTGGAAGGATGACAGTATCACCTGGTTCTGGGTGAGTCACAAAGCCTAGAAAAGTCCCTTTAAATTCTCCTCATTCGTTACTGCACAGACCGTTCGCTGCATCCCAGTGGTACTGTGGATGTTGTGGGGAACTTGAAAATGAAGCCTCAAAAACATCTCTTGGCAGGTGTGCTTAGACCCAAAGGGATAGATTTAGACCCTCCATCCACCCACCATCTAAAAGCTACCTTCATGGGGAGAGCAACCCTCAGCCCTAGTGCTGCCAGCTCTGCAAGGATATCTTGCTGTGACCTCTTTGTGTTTCCAGATGGCCATCACAGAAAGTGTCTGTGGGCTGGTGACATCTATTTCATGAGAAATGCTATTGATGGTATGATTTTTAAGCTGTACCACCAAAAAATTCTTGAAAAGCTACTACTGAAATTGAGCTCTCGCAAATAGCCAGTTTTCCCCAGGATAATCGCAACCAACATATTAATATATGAGAAAATGTGGAACAAAGACAGATCATGCAATACAGCAATGGTTCTTTCAACACAGGAATGCAGGAGTGACTGGGGAAACCACAGCATTGAGATTGATGTTGTGGTGGGCCATGGTAGCAGCACTGCCTTCTTATCTAGCTGTAGAAATAACAGATCCAATTTGGATTCTGTGTGTTGGGGACTCAACCCCAGGCTGTTTCTGCCAGATGAGTTGCACAGATGTGGAGGTAATGGCTATTGCAGGTAAGGATGATGTTCTGTGAGGCTGGGGCTTTCAGTCTCTCTGGACTAGAGCAGAAATTCCACTTTCTCCAAGGAAAATAATCTTTTTTTCTTTGTCTCTCTCCTTTTGCTCTCAACAGATTTCTGTTCAAAGTTCCCTTTTTGACGAACTGGCTTTTTTTTTTCTTTTTTTTTTTTTTCTGAGAATATGCACTGTTGAAAACTTTCAAGTCAGCAGTACCTGGGATAATTTAAAAACTTCCGAAACAGACAGCTCTGCTGGCAGCACAGCATGGGGTTAGAAAACCCTCGATGACTGGAAGATGCCTTCAGAGGCCATGTGGTGCTGCAGGGCTCCCATGGTGCCAGGAGCAGGCAGCCATTCCTGCAGCGGGAGCACAGCTCACCCCAGGGTATCCTGAGGCACTGCACAGTTGTGCTAGAGTGATTAAAACTGTCTGGTTTTACAATCAGGAAAGGAGCTTTGAGAAGAAATCCAAAGCAGCGTGAGTTAGTGCTTTGCCTCATGCAGCACCTTCTGCTCATATCTGCAGTCTAAAATCACCACTAACAAACATGAAATGTCTATCAGAAAATTTTGCAGACCTTGCAAGTGAGATAAGTATCCAAAGTAAATATCCAAAGTAAGTACTCAAGTGTTGTCTGTTTGTGTTTAAGGCAAGATCGTTACATATTGTGCTTTTCTCCAATTTACAATCTTGAAAATTTGGTAAGTCACATTTGGTACACACTTAAGAATTAGATCCAAAAGCACACCTGTGATGATCTAAAAATCCCGCTGACCTCAGGTTTTCCTCAAAGCTCCAGAGCAGCAAGGATATAAAAACCAAACCCACATTCTTGGCAGATATGAACACCAAAAACCACCTAAAAGGGAAATGAAAATCTTAAAATCAACTCTCTTTGTCAGTTAACATTTTTAATGTTCCTGGCTAAAATACTGCCTTTCTGCTCCAAGCTGGGAGGAGACAGGAGGAGGTGAAGGGAAAAGACTATCAGAGAGGATGACTCTCCTCTTCCTCTTGCAGTGGGTGAGTGTCCATTACCCATCCTGGGATGCTGAAGATCTTGATTCAAACCAAACCTTTCTACCTTCAAACTCAGCAAGAGTGTATCCAACTACTGGACATTGGCTGAGAAGGACTCTTCAAATTTCCTCTAATGAAATCATTTTATGTTGTCATTTTAGATAATTATACGTTGACATCAGGATCTCACTTTGCTTTTTCTGAGTTTCAGGTGAAAATGTTTTCCTCCAGCTTTTCTCAGGCATTTAAATCTGACTGTGGGAAACTTCCCAAGGTCTTGTGTTTCCCTGGTTGTGCAGTATCAAACATCTTGGACTCCTAAATCTGGAGAGAGAAAATATTTTCCATTCAGCCTTAGAAATTATTATTATTATTATTATTATTATTATTATTATTATTATTATTATTATTATTTTGCTCAATGTTAAAGGTAGCTAAGAGATAGATAATTCATTTCTGAAGGTTGTCTTCTCATGAAGTAATTGATGTACAAATGTTAGCACATTAAACAAACTCTGCTGCAGACAGTAGGCCTGTAAATAGACTGGAAAGAAAAAAAAATGCTGGGAAATTAATTATGTGTTTAAATAAGAGGAACTGATTTCTGTAAAGCCATGAGTGCTTTTTAATCTTCCAGAGTAGATCAGAAATTCAGTCCTCAAGTGGAAGAAATCCTAGAGGGCAGCTCTAACGAGTCAGTAAGTAAAGCACATAGGGTAGTGAATCAGAAGGCTTTACAAATATGTAGAGGCAGCTGTATGTCTGTAATACATTCATCATGCAGCAGTATGGCACTCACACAGCAGCACTTTGGCCCCCTGTCTTGAAGAATATTCAAATTTCACTGTTATCACAGCGTATTGCATGTCCTGCTTTGTGTTACTGCACACTCAAAATATCACCCAGGCTTGTAATTGGTGCGTGTCAGGGTATTTCTTTACCCTTAAAACAAGCACGGGTCAGATTTTCAAAGTGTGTCAATATGTCAGGCTGGCTGCATATGAGTCAAGGGGACCAAGTTCCTTTATACCAGCTAAGGATTGGGTCCTATGTATTTAAAAATAGACTAATGAGGGAAGGACCCATCCACCTACTGAAAGGTTCTGTGACCTACTTCTGCAGCTCTCCTCTTCGTTGTTCAGGAAAGCTCTGCTGGGTTTCTGCTTCTTAATCTCCTTGGCTTCCCCTAAATCGCTCACAAAAGCAAATTCCACTGGAGAGAGAGACAGCTGTTTCTGCATATATTAATAATATGCAGCTCTATAAATTATTAATAAAAGTTACCAATGACTTTGAGTTATGGTGCAGTAATTCACACTTAGCTGTTTAGATGGCTCTCAGCCTTCATCCTGGTGTTCCATTAAGCACCTGGTATGAATGATTATGTTGGAATTCAAATTGTTGTTTCTAGTTGCTGAAATTTAGCACTGTGCATATTGGACTGGATCACAGAGATGATTATGGCATGCCAGAAAAGCTCTGCACACCACATGGATGGATGCAATCAAAACAATTGATTTTTCAGATTGGTCTCTGGGAATGCTGGTGGTCATGCACTGAAAGATCTTAGTCCTCTGCCATGATAGGCACCTAGAGCTGGTCCAGAAAGATGCTTAAATTTATTTAAACACATGTACAAACATTCTGGTGGATCCTATGAAGTGTTCAGCACAGTTATATCTGGCAGCTCCTTCTGCGATGGATGTGGTCACTTTCTCATTTTCTTATGTGTCTCTCCAGTGTTTCAATGACATTTGTGTTACTGTGAGCTCTATCCATGAAAAGTGCTTGTGAAAGACGGAAGGAAGGAAGGAAGGAAGGAAGGAAGGAAGGAAGGAAGGAAGGAAGGAAGGAAGGAAGGAAGGAAGGAAGGAAGGAAGGAAGGAAGGAAGGAAGGAAGGAAGGAAGGAAGGAAGGAAGGATCATGAATCTCCAACCCCCCTGCCACATGCAGGGCCACCAACCTCCCCATTTAATACTAGACCAGGCTGCCCAGGGCCCCATCCAATCTGGCCTTGAACACCTCCAGGGACGGGGCATCCACAACCTCTCTGGGCAGCCTGTTCCAGCACCTCACCACTCTCTCTGTAAAGAATTTTCCCCTGACATCCAACCTAAATCTCCCCTCCCTCAACTTAAAACCATTTCCCCTTGTCCTGCAGTTATCTACCCTTTCAAAGAGTTGACTCCCCTCCTGTCTGTAGGCTCCCTTTAGGTACTGAAATGCTGCAATAAGGTCACCCTGCAGCCTTCTTTTCTCCAGGCTGAACAAGCCCAGCTCCCTCTTCTTAGGGGAGATGCTCCAGTCCCCTGATCATATTTGTGGCTCTCCTCTGGACCCTCTCCAACAGCTCCCTGTCTTTCTTGTACTGGGAAGGGAGGAAGGGAGGAAGGAAGAATAAGAAAGAAAGAGAGAAAGAAAACTGAGAAGCCGGGGGCTCAGTAAATTGCCCATCTGATGGAGAACTGAAGCAGAAATGCAACCTTGCTTGGTCACCTACAGACAACAGAGTACGTGTTTGTTTACCCCCAGGTGATTCACTGCATACCAACGTCAGTCAAAATGGATCAGAAGGATCAGACCTGAATGGTGCCTATTTGTTAATTAGAAAGGGATCCCAAGGTGACTTTCTCATGCATTGCTGTCCGTGCCCTAAAGCTCAGAGAGGTGAGGCCTGGCTTTTGACTCCCTGGTTTCTCTGTCCTCTAACACGTGACGTTGGGGTGACCGTACATAGGAGACATTTTATGAGCTCTATCTTTGAGGCATATGAAAAGCCAAAGCCATCGCTAACTTCATCTACAGATACTGAATCTTAAAGGCTACCGTCAAAAAGCGGCTCTGCGGTGCTGAGATGCGGAGGTGTAAAACCCTCAGAGCAGCCTTGCCCCTGGCGCCGAGGGGAAATGGGGAGCGTTTGGGTTGTGCCTGGTGGAAGAGTGCGC